CCCTGCTGGAGCCAGCAGCAGCCCCTCAGTTCAAAGCTCCTTTCTTTAGGCCTTGAATTCTCGGCCATAAAGTCTCTGAAGAGGTTTTGATAACTGGCCTATCTTTTAGATAAGCAAAGCTTTGGATGAATCCCACACAGCCCTCTATCTACCACAAGTCCTCATTTGTTTTCCGCCGGAGCACTTGCTGGTTTTCCTCTCCAAGGTGTTGGACAGAAATGTCAAGAGGCTGAAGGGACAGGACAATTTTTCTCTTTTTTTACCAAGTGCTATGGGGAGAAACAGTGGAAGGAAAACCTGAGTGATAACTGAGTGAGGCAGGTTTTTCTCATGGGAGCTGTAGGTTTATCCCTTCTGTGACAAAAAGGAAAGGCAGAGAGGAAAGACAGATGAAAGTTCACCCTTTACAAATGGTTGAAATTGAGGGAATTTTAAAACAGCAAATTCAGTGTATTTAAATCTACAGGGACCAGACTGCAGGACCTTCAACCAGGCAAATCTGCAATCCGAGGCTGGAACAAAGTACGTAAGCAGAGCCTAAAGAAAAAAATTCTCATTTCTGTGAGGCTTTTCTAGACAGTCTTGTCTAGGGAAAACTTATAAAAGGGAAGGGGAAGAAAAGAAGTGGAGGAGACAGTTACTGGAGAGAAGATTTCCTGAAATGAATCAGAGGAAGCAGCCAGAGCCTCTCCCAGCAGTGCTGCACACCCCATGAGCTCCTCGCAGGCGGCCAAGAGCCCAGAGACAGCCAGTTATGCCCAGGTTATTTATTTCCCCCACTCTGGCAGTGTCACGTATGTAATGTTTTAGAAAATAGTGTCTTCTTTTATCTGTGGCAGGATACAAAGCAAGAAGCAGCTTCCTAGAGCAGCCAGGCAGAAGGGAGCTGGCAACCTGTGCTGGGTCAGGAGGGGAGGAAGATTAAAAGGAGATGGGATTTTGCTTTGTCCTTCACGGAAGACTTTATCCCCTCCAGATACACAACAGAAGCTTTCTCTCCCTTGGAGGTTGGCCTTCCTGTCTCTCAAAGCTGCTCCTGGGTCATGCACAGGGCAAGCTGTGAGCAGCACGGCCCCGTCCTCTGCCCCAGCAACAGATCTGCCATCAGCCCCCTGCTCCCCACACAGCCTGCCCGTGTCCCTGCTTCCCTGGGTGGCACTCGTCCCTGTGCCAGCCCTGGCTTCTCGCCCACTGCAGGGCGACGCTCATCAATTAGCGCACAACAAATAATTAAGCTGATGAATGTCTCTTTTTCCTGCTTTCTGACTGCACTTGCCTCGAATTTATGCCCAGATTATTACTGAATTTATTCGTTGCCACTTGCAGCATTCAAAAGAGGCCTTTAATGATTTCTTTTAAGCTCTCCAGCCTGATTGTGAGCAGTGCAGGGCAAATACTCATTATTTCCTATCTAAGCAGCAGTGCTGATTAGTCAGTGCTTGGTCAGATAAGTCACACTGCTCCATTCCCCGCTCGCTGACGGAATCCACAAGGTCACTCACTGCTAATGTTCAAATGCAAAGGGAAAACATGGGATAAGCATGGAAGTCCCTTGTGCATTTTCAGGGCAACAAAACAGGGGCGTGCAAAATCTCACATTAAGTAAGAGGGCTCGGATTTAAAGTGAACTTGGGCTGAAGCATTTTGCTTTCAGGCAGCCTGTTCACAGCACTGTGTGCAGCCCAAAGTGTGTTGGGGAGGGTGGCGGGGCTGCAGTGAAACTTAAGTCTTGACAGTTTGCGGACACTAAAGATCTGAAGCCAGCTCTTACTCGACTGTTGACTCCTGAATCTTCACATGGTGCAATGTTAATCTTCAGCCCTTTCCCAAAATAATGTGTGGAGTTGCTATGTTCTCTTAAATGTGAACCATGTGTCACCTCAGCAATGGCTGCTGTGGGGAAAAGATGATAAATCTAAAGCTTTTAAAATGTCCTGTGACATTTTGGGAGAAAAACAGGTGTTGTATAAATGTTGGACATTTATGGGCAAACTTGTAGGGGTTTTAAAAGACTGACACATCTGCCACATAGTATGTAACCCTGAAAGAAAAGGAGCAAAGCAGTCTCTTTCATGTGTCTCATTCTCTCTACAACCATATGAAAATACATCCTCATCTGGTATTGGAATTAACAGAGCTGGACTTGCCCCTCCCTATGTCTCCTCCAGGATTTTGGCTTTTAAACCCAATGTGTATTTTAAAACTGTGCCTTTTTAAGTAGGTGGCAAACTGTGCTGGAAGGATTTGGTATGCGGAGTATTTTTATTCAGCTCCCTTTTCTCTCACCTTTCATTGTTTTTCCCATTGGAATATCTCCTGTAATGCTCCACTCATAAACCTCTTCAAAGAGAGGGCTGTATTTGAACAGCCTGTCCTGAAATCTGGTCTCAGTCAAAAACTTCAGATGGGAAAATAACTGGGAGAGCCAAGCCCCACGGCCCACGGCTGCTGCTGCAGGTGTCGGCAGCCGCTTTGCAGGAGCGAGGTTCTCCCACTGCCTCCTTTACTCTGACCCCACAGCCCCCCTGGCTGGGTTACGATTCCCCCTTTTACCCTATAAATGTAATAGACTGGGACTTAGCATCTTGCTTTTAGTGTGGAAGATCCAAGGAGGAGGCGGTTTTCCTCACCTCTCCCAGGAGTCTCATTCAGGTCCTGGGATGCTGTTGGTGTTTTGGGAGAGAGGAGGAGATTCTGGGAGCTGAATGCATGCCAGGCCTGTGATGGGCTCCATGGCTCACCCCTCCAACTGTGTGATCTCGAGGATGGGTTGTTCTAAACTGCCAGCTAGGGCAAATCTAGTTCCCCAGTTCCATTGACCCAGCTCCCAGGGAAGTCAGTGAAAGCAGACTCATCTCCAAAAAGCTACAAAACCTCCCCTTCCATGGGGAAAATCCATCAGACGTGTGACCAGCTGCCTGTGTCTGACCATTTGCCCTTTGCACCGAGCAGTTTTAGCACAGAAAACAGCAACCCACTGGGCTACAAAGTGCTTCCCCTCCTTGGGAGGTCACTTGGTTTCTGGGTGGCAGGGAAGCAGCAGATATTTTGAGCGTGAGTCGCCTGGCTGGTAAGTGTTCACAACTCTGTGCAGATCCCACTTGGTCTCAACTCCCTGCACAGCAATAAATCCTGCTCCCAAACCTTAATCCTATCCCTCCCCCCCTCCTCAATTCAGCTCTCCCATCCCTTGTGTTTTGGTTGTGCCCTTAGCTCCTGTCTTGATGGGGCTGGTTTGGGTCAGTCCCCTCCCAGGCACCTCGCTTTCGTTCTTCTGACACTGCTTGGGATTTTTCATCGCCTGTTCTGCAGCCTGCAGGCAGTGAGATAAAGTTTCCCAGGCAGGCTGTTTTGGGAGGAGAAGACCTACACCATGCTGAGCTACCGGGCACTTCCAGCTCTGCCCTCCCGGCTGGTGGGAGGTCAGCGAGCAAGCTGTGCTGCTGTTGGGCTGCTCCTCCCAAGGAGGTGGAAAATCAGCCAGAGACAGGAATCTCTTTTTGGAGATAACTGAGGATGAGCCACTGTCTGTCATCCTGCTCATCTCTTCAGTGCTTGTTTCACCAGGGAGCCCCTTTTGGAGTCTCCATGCCCCACTCCACCCATGGGGAACAGAGGAGCTCCCCTGCCTACGCTTCCCTGCACGTGGGTCCAGGACTTTTTTTCAAAAGGAACACCACAATAGAGGGGGATATTTGTCCAAAAAGGGCACAGCTAGAGAAATGACCTCTTCCCCTGCATTTTCCCCAGAGGAGAAATTAACTCTTTCCACTTGCCAAGGCATGTCCATCTCCCTTCCCCAGTGTTCCCAGATGGAGCAGAGACAGCTCACAATGCTGAACCAAGGAAAAGAAATCTCCAGCCAAAGCTGGCTCCCCTGTAGAGAGGAACTCCTCCCTCAGCTGGGTGGCTGACATGGATGGTGTCATATATGCTGAGCCCAAGCTCATTCAGGTTTTATTATTTATTAATATGTATCAGATATGTAACTCAGCTGGATTTTTCATTCTGTTCTACACACAAATTTGGAAGATAAGGTAAAATATTCACCTGGCAGAGGCTAAAATTTGCTTTATTTTTTGGGAGAAACCTCATTCCAAATCCCTTCTGGTTAGAAACCTATAAAATGTTGTACTGCTCCAAGCCACAAGCTCTATCACTCCAGTCACTGTCTCTAACAGTGCTCAGAAATGTGTGTTAAAGAACCAGAAAAAAGGGGGATGTGTGTGGAGGGACTCTTCCTTAGGCTCAAGCACTCAAGGGTTCAAATATTCCTCAGCCAGAAACTGCATCCAGATCACAGTGTCTAATAACCACTGATGGAGCAAAGCTCCACAAATAGGCCTGCTCTTTTTTTGACTTCAAATATATTTTTGTTCTTAATAATACTCTGTGGCAATGCATCCTATTACTCAAACACACACTGTGCCAATAAGGATGTTCTTTCGTCTGTTTGGATCTTGCTTCCAGGAAATTATCACTTCACCCCCTCATTGCTGAGCGATAAAAAACAGTGGATTTTACTTTCCTTAGCATCCTCCCTACCTTAAATAATGATTTTATAGATCTGTGTCACTATCTTGTCTCTTTTTACAAGGCTCTGGTCTATGTGGTCTCTGTCCAGAAAATATTTGACATCTCCACCCAGCCCTGCTGTCCTGCTCCACATTCTTCTCTGTCCCACTCTGGGATGGGACAGTCAGCAGCAAGCCAGGCACACGTGGGCACACATGGATCAAAGCACAGATCCACAATGATGCTTTCCTTTTACTCTCTCCTATTTTTCTAGTGATTTCTAACCCTTGGTTTCCCTTTGGAGCCTTGAGGATGGATAATAAATAAACCAGCAAGAACTCACTGGCTGTGGTGAGCTGCTGCTTGGGCTGAAGGTCCTTCTGAGACCTTGGACCTCCCTTTTTTGAGCAAAAATTTTTTTTTTTCAAGGCACAAAGCAGCACTCAGCAAGGAATTCCCATGAAAAGAAGAAGGGGCATCCCTACCTTTTTGGTCTTGACTGTTGAGGCGCAGCAGTCCCCACCATCATAGTTGCAGAAAGCTCTGTTGTTGATGGAGTCACAGTAGTTGTCCCCCATGAAAGGCTGAAAAAGGAAAAAGCAGGAAAAGGCTGAGAGTGTGGACATGGATAAAATGAGCCCCTTCCTTATGGAAGCTGAGAAAGGAGTGGCTGGAGAGGAGAAGGTTGTGTGGAGACCTCACTGCACCTTCCAGTGTCTGAAGGGGCTACAGGGAAGCTGGAGGGGGACTGTTCATCAGGAACTGTAATGACAGGACAAGGGGAAATGGCTTCAGATTGAAAGAAGGGAAATTTAGGTTAGATGTCCAGGAGAAATTCTTCCCTATGAGGGTGGTGAGACCCTGGCACAGAGCAGATGTGGCTGCCCCTGGGTCCCTGGCAGCGTCCAAGGTGAGGCTGGATGGGACTTGGAGCAACCTGGGACAGTGGAAGGTGTCCCTGCCCATGGCAGGGGGTTGGAAGTGGATGACCTTAAAGCCCCTTAAACCATTCCATGATTCTATAACCCTGAAACCTGTAACAATATTTCAGAAAAAAAGCACAAAGATTTGAAGGAACCATACAGTATGTAACATACCAGCTGCCCTGAAAAGCAGGAGATAATTATTCCCCTTTCCCTTCAAAACAGACAGAAAAAAAAGGACAGTAGATGGAAGGGAAATGAGCCCTTGTTGGCTCTTCACATCCCACATAAGAAGATGCTTCAGGAATATTAATTTGGCTAGGCCCAGAGAAAGCATCCAGGCATCTAAAATTGTGGCACCTTTGATAATTTTAAGCTAACCTTCCTAAACTGTGTGGGATAAGAAAAAGGTTATGTATTGCAGCAAAATGGGCTTGCTTTTAATAGCTGAGCTTTTCACCACAGTTCTCCTGACTACGCAACACGTGTCAGCAACGAGGGCACAAAACAAATCACCAAGAGGAATGGGAGAGGTCTGAGCTCAGCCCAGGGACCATGTTCTCCTGTTCTCTGACTGCGTGGGACCTTGGCCGTGGCATGTGATCTTCTTCCACTGCACAGCTCAGAGCTGGGATAATGGCAATTATTCAGAGGGACGTTTTGGAAAGCTGTTAAGTAAAATTCATAAATCACCTTGAAAAGGAAAATGTGGTCATTAGGCTGGGCCATGTGATCAATAGTCCATGTGCTGTACAGGGCCTGAATAATAACCATGAATCCAAAGGAAAGGCCTGAAGTCTTTCATTACACACTGGAGCCCTCTTGGTCTGCAAGCACAGAAGTCTTCCTTGGAAGTCTAAGCTGTACCTGATGGTAAAAAAGGCCCATGCCAGGTATGAGAATCCCAGGCAGCAATGAAAGCTCAGAAAAATGGATGATCAGAAGAGAGCACAGTCATATCTCTGTAGCTCTCCTCACACACACAGGCTCTTGAGGCCATTCCCATTTTATCTGCTCATTGGAAAATTCATTTATTCTGCACTGAGAAAAGCACACCAGGGACTCTCCTGCGAGAAGACATTGTGGCAGAGCAGGCAGGATGGCTTGCAGAGGTTTTCTGGGAGGATTTTGCAGCATTGCAGACCCAGAGTGTCCCAGATGAGGGATACCTGAAGAAGCAGCCATGAGAGCTTGCTGTGCTCTCCCCAAAGCTTGCCATGGACACGCTCATCAGAGTTGAAATGAACTCAATAAAATGGGGCAAATGCACACTTTTACTGCTGATGTGCTGGAAATTTAAATATTTCTATCAGGTAGAGGAAACCCAGGCAATGATGGCAATATCAGACCACAGCTGGACTACCAGGAGGGGACAGACTCGTTGAGTGTCACTTGTTTAATTATGTGCAGATACTGTGAATGTGGACAAGGAAATCAGAGTTACAGTGTGAGGCTCCTGTCACTCTAAACTGTCTTAACTCCACCCATTTCCACAGATATTGATTTATTTATACAGGCAAAGACTTTGACTTGCAAGCCTCCTTCCAATTTAATTAATATTCTAAGAGTTAAAAGGGAATGATTTATAAATAGATGGAGAGATATTTTGAGGCCAACCTGGCCATATTTAAAAGTGTGAACTTTGCTCAACCTCACAGGAAATTCTGCAGTCTTCTCCATGTTTCTCTTGTGTTGCCTGGCTGTGCCTGCTTGATGGGAAATCTTGACTTTAAATTTCCATTCCTATGCCTGCATCCTACACCTATGAATGCTGGAAAATCCATAAAGAAGCCCGTGGAAGAATTTGTTCTGGCACAGAGTAGACAAGCCAGTCCTTTGGAGGAGAATGGGACAAAAAGCATCTATTCTGATTTGGGACCAAAATCCTTGCTTGGGGGACCGTGGAGGCCTGGCTGTGGAGGGTGAGGTCTCTGTTACTCTTCATGCAGGTCTTGGTGCTCTGATATTTTTGGAGGACTGTCCAGAGGGACTCATTTGCTGCTGAAACACCCAAGTTTGGTGCAGACAAGCACGGGGCTGACTCAAAAGCCTCTCTTCCTGCCACTAGGGAGCGACATAAAATCACATTGCAGCAGCTGCCAGGGTTCCCACTGCGATCACCAAGAGCCAAAAAATGCCCCACTTACAGCCCCCCTAATGCTAAGGATGCCCATACATTAGGAGATGTATCAGGTTAATGGCCCAGCATTATTGACCTACTGGCTTATTAGTCTCTGTTTCCACAGTAATGGGAAAAAAAAGGGGGCTTGGTGAAGATGGCATTTCTTCTGAAATCTTAATGCCAAGCTCTGGCCCATCCGTGGATCCTGGAAGCATCGTGCTCTGAAAATGATGCTAAAGGCCATTATCAATTGTCTGGGCAAAGCCATCCCAGATGATGGATTACGATGCAGTGACACTGAATGAATGTTGAAAAGAAGAAAGTTCCTGTTGATGCAGAGGGCTCTGGCAATTAGCAGTGATGGAAGGGAAGAAAATGCTGAGAAGAAGCATGTCAGTAATAATGGCTTCTGGTAAATTATTACATCATTGCAAAGTTTGTCTCAGTAACAACTATCCTTAAACAGCGGGAGGATGGATACCCAGTGGTGCATCAGCACCTGAATGGCATTTTTTAATGGTGGCTGGATGATATTTCAGCTCTCTTTGGAGAATGGGGGCACCCAGCCAGCCTGCATGAATGCGATGCGTGAGACAGCTTATGACATTCAGAGCACTGACAGCAGAATGCTTTTCATTTAGGGAACAGCTAGACAGAAACTATTACATTGTTGGAGAGTTATTACCCTCTTGGGCCCAACATTTGTATGAGAAGGAAACCTGTCTTTCACTTCAACACAAATCACATCCCACAGCAGTGTGGTCTGGAGCTTTGTGTCATGTTCAGGAATTCAGTCCCATGTTCTGACACTTTGGGCAAATAATTTCAGTGTGCTTGGGTTACTGGGTGCTGGGAGCCCGGTCAGTGTGGCAGCAAGTCAGGACACATGGAGGGAAGACAAAGCTCTGCCACTGCCCTTCGCCATCTGTGCCTCTGCCTGTGAGCCAGCTCATTTCTTAAGGGTATGGAGCTTCCCAGCCTTCCAGAGGTACCACGAGGGACCATCACTTCTTGATGTGAGACACTCAAGGGCTGGCATGATGGAAACCACGGGAGTGCCTTGACCCAGACAGAGGCACTCCAGCCCTGTTTAACCCCCAGAAGCATCTTCAGTCTTCTCAGACATTTCTAAAATTGCTGCTGGCAGAAACAACGTCCTTCAAAATAATTACTTTTTTCAAGTAACTTGCAAGACTCTAAAAGTGTATGACAGCTGAAATGTAACTGCATGTTTCTGATTATTCTTTTCTGGTTTAGACAGAGGTGGCCAGTGGAGGGAGGTGTGATTTGCTCACTGTCCAGCTGTGCTGTCCACCCACTGGTATCATCTCTGGCTTTCCTAAACTTTCTCTGCCCACACCAATGCCCAAAGCTTAGCTGGCCTTGGAAAGAATTGTCCCTCAAACAAGTCAAGATCAAGGGAAAACAAGAGAGAAGGCTTTTGCAACTTCCCAGAAACTCACAGATTCTGGGAAATTCTTTTGGTCAACCAATGTTTTTGAGCTGCTTGATCATTTAACTCCTGTGAGAGTCACCAACCATCATCTCTGGGAAAACCACCGATTTCCCTACTGAGTGTCAGAACTGATGCAGGCGATCTGTTTGTGTGATAGGGTGGTCAGGGCAAAATCCTGCCTGCCCCACTTGAAAACCAGAATTTACAGCCCATGTGCCTGCAGGGATTGTTTCTTTAAGATTTAGGAGAGTCACCAAGGACCACCTGAGCTAAAGTAAAACTCACCTCACAGCCTTTAACACAATGAATCAGGGAAGGGTGAGGGTACCACTTGAGTCCTGCCGTGCAGACAACACTCTGGAGGGAAGAAATAAAAAAAAAAAATAAAATAAAAAAAGCGCAACAGGTTAAGACAAAGAAATCAGTGTACAGAAAGTCAGTGTGCTGGCTCCTATGGCTCTCCAGTACTTAACCAATGAAGTTCAGTTCCTAACACCTCTTGTGTTCTCAGGACCTGGCTGTCCTCCAGGTATTTACAAGAAGTGTTGGACTTGACACTTGCAATAACAGAGCATTTGAGATTAAAATAATATTTGAGGTTCTCCTAAAATGTCATGTCCAATATTTCACTCATGGTGGGGGAACGTGGCAGGGAAAGGCAAAGGCACAGGTCCACTTTTGCTCTTGGGTAGGGGGGAGGCATTCTAGGAATTAATTTAGGGATTTATTTGGTGCTGCCAAGCAGTGCGTTCTTTCAATGCCCATTGTACCTTTGCTTCTTGAAGATGGAAGGGATTTTCAGATACATTTTAGCAGCATCTTAAATAAAAGCACCTCCCACCACACACCTTCAGGATCACCTCCAGACAGGACAGCATCCTCTGCTACATTTTATGAGCTTCATAATCATTTCTCTACCAACCCCATCTACAGAAAAATGTTGCACACTCGGTTTTGGACAAAAATTATGACTGTCTTATGCAATCACACAGCCAGGGCAGACATAGGCATGGACACCTAGATTTAAAGAGTGAAAACTTTGTCTGGTCAGTAGAGGTGGTGGCTGCACACCACGGGCATTGTGGAGGTAGGGTTTCCATCCATCCAGCAGGACATCAGGCACAATGTCCCTTTGGGGTCACTGCCCATGGTGAAGCACTACAGTGTCCATTTGTGCAAGACAAACACACAGGCACTCACCTAAAATGTGGGGTTGGGACTGGGGCGTGTGGAAGGAAGGGATTAACATTTGGGAAGACCCAATGCACAAGCCATCCCTTCCCCTGTTCATCTGAGGGCTAATTTAATCCATCTGTAAGGGAACCTCAGCTTGTTTTTACAGTTTCTGTCATTTGAGGCTTACCTGGCGTGCGCTAGAAAAAAGGACTTTTATACTATCTGGCTGGGGCTGTTTATCTTTCCGATGCTCTTGGATTTTCCACTATTAGTCAAGCCCAGCTTGCCCCACCTGCCTCGCAACAGGGCCTGTCTGTGTGAGCAGAGAAGCGGCTGGGGAGGGGAGGATGTTGTTTATCCCCTGGGAGAGAGGGAGGCTGCAAGGTGCGGGGGCCCCGCGGTGTCACACGTTCCCCTGGCGCGCTCCTGACAGACAGCTGGAGATTTCCAGGCTGTTGCCTGCCACAAATGGTGAGGGCTTTTCTTTCCCCCCCCACCTCTTCTGTTTATTGCACTTCAGAGGGGAAAGAAAGGAAACTTTTCTAGGTTTGAAAATAAACAAGGCCAGTCAACAGAGCGGAAGCAGGGAGAGTAAAGGAAGCAGTTCAAGAGCATTTGAACCCAAGAATTAGAACAAAGTGGAAAAACTCAGGAGTTTGTCTCCTGTATCCAAGGCCAGCAGACAATAAGTGGAAGAAGTGCACTTCCAAAGAGCACCTCACATTCCCCTGGTAAGAAGCATCAATATTTACAAAACCTCACGCTCTGTGTGAGTGTGTGAGCATGCAGAGTGAACAAAAGAAACCAAAGAGCCCTGAACCAGGCTCTACAGAAAGGAGCTTTCCACATGAGAGCAATCCCTCGCAGAGGATGCGCTGAATGTTTTCCTGACCCTTCAAGTATAAAAATGCCAGCACCCCCCTTAAAGGAACGGATGGGAGGTGAAGTCCCTGCTGAGACAGTTCTGAGTTCTCACTCAAGGTCATCCTCAATCCCAAACATAGCCTTGGGCTGAGCATCCTCCAGGGAATGGGAACACAGCTCCAGGTAGGTCTCCACAGCACAGGACAGGCAGGTGCCAGGTTAATCACTGGGTCAGTGGGACATTCCCATTCCTCTGCAGTGGCACCTGCCAACAGCTCCACAGCAGTTACTTGGTCCCCACTTTGGGTCATCCTTTGCTAGCAGAGACCACTAGAACTGAATTCAATCCTGCTGACATTCCTGGAGCTGGAGCAGAGGGAAGGACCCTGGGCCATAGTCCTGATTCCTCTTTCTGGTCTTCCAAACCCTCGGTTCCCCCCCCTCAGCCTGTTTGTACCCTCAGGCTGCTGCTGTGCTGTGTGTGGTTCATTGGGAGAGAGGATGTGAGCAGAGGGAGAGACTGGGCTAGAAAACCAAGAAATTTGGAATTATTTGGATTGCTGGGCATCATTTCTGCCTCCTGAAGCTCAAACAGGTATACAGATGCCACAGGGTGCTGCATGGGGCACCTGAATTAAACAAATGTATAGAAAGCAAGCAAGGATGGGCAAAGGTGGTACATGAGCACGATCTGATGGTGTGCACGGACAGGGCGACCCAGAATGCCAACAATGCAAGTGGAAAGAGGTGTATGGAAGCCCCACATCTGCCACGTGCCAGGTGGTGCCTGGGGAACAAAGCCCATCTGGCCACTGCCCCTGGGAGCCCCGTCCCTTCCCTGTGCTCCAGACCCCGTGGTGACATCTGCTGCCCTGGTGCATGGGCTCCTGCAGCACAGCTGTGCAGCCGGGTGCGCTGGCTCGGGTCCTGTCCCCACCCCAGGAACGCCACCCTGCCACATCTGCCGTGGGTGCTGGGCCTCCATCTGCTGCCAAGGGAGAGGGAGCTGGGCTGCGCTCCCACAGAAGGTAACAAAGAGCCAAGGAAGCAAATCAAGCTGTCATTTTCTCCTTGTGAAGGAAGACCCGGTGCCTCCGGTGCTGGCGCTTCCCTCCCGTGGTGGGACTAACACAATGATGTCAACCCTTCGTGGGCTGCAGAAGGGATCAGGTTTCCCCCAGAGAGGCAGGAGGAGAGCTTTCCTCCACCTTAGATGGGTCAAGTGCCCCCCAGGGCTGGAGCCCAGGGACTGGCATCTCCTGCTCTCAGCTAGCTCGCTCCTCAGGCACTAAAGGAAAAGGACAATTAACCGTGGGCTTTATGTGTGACGGCAGCTACAGATGGAATGGGATCTCCTGCCTTCCCAGGAGTGGAGCTGCTGCACCACAGTAGGTCACATCACTGTTCTGTGACTCAGTTTCCCTGCTGCAAAATGAACCCAAAACTCTCAAAAGAAAAACCCAAACAAAACCAAAACCAACCAAAACCAAACGAAAAACAAACAAACAAATAAAAAAAACAAACATGGGGAGGGAAGGAAGGAGGAAAAGTGCAAAGTTTAAATGATTAGGGGAGTATTTAAGGAGCATTCCCACTAACGAGTTCTGGGCATTTTTAATCCCAGGGAACAGGGGCCATGGCCACGCTCAGCCCAGCAGAGCTGGGACATGCAGACCCTTGGAAAGCTCTCCCAGGCATGCACATGCCTGCACACTATTTAGCCTGTCCCTACTCAGCACTAAGGCAAGAACCCAAGTTCAGACAACCTAAGAAATGAGGTGTCTGCTCTGTTTCTCTGCAGTCAATGGGAAAGAGCTGTCAAGCTGTCTCTAAGAGATATTTCCCTTTTTTTCTCCCCACTGCCTGCAGTCAGTCTTGGCAGCTCTATCCATCGGTGTCTTCAGCAGCTCCCTGTGCCACACACAGTGAAGGGAAAATCGTGGGGACAGCACTGGCTGCTCTGAACACATCCCACAGCAGAGCAGGGCCACTGAAGTTTTCAGGTGATTTTTTATTTTTTTTCTTGCTGAAAACACTGATTTGGAAGACACTTGCCAGCTTATACTGATTTCAGCAAATTGTTTCAGACCCAACAAAGCAACTCAACCTAAACCAATTCTGAAAAACACAGAAATATTTAGACATTTTGTGAAATGAAATATCTCTTGTTGTTTATTGTTTGAGAGGACATTTAATTTCTAAGTTTTTGGTGTGTTTTTGTTTTTTCTTTCATTTTCACTAAACAAAAAGTTTACAAAATCTCCTTGGAAATGAAATACTACGTTATGTTCAAACCAACATGTTTTTTCTTCCAATTTTTTGGTTCACCAAAAATCACAATAACAAAAGTGTCACTTTGATTAGGGAGGTTTTTTTTTGTTTGTTTTTTTTTGGTTTTTTTCCCAATTTAAGAAAACTTTGAGTGAACCGAAAAATCAACTGATTTGCACAGCCCTGCTCTAAACAACCCTCAGAGAAGGGATAGTTCCTTCTTTCCATTTTGCTTCCATAACAGATGTTGCTTGAGCTGCTACAGACAAATTATTTATTTTTTCTTGTCAGCTCTCCCTGTGTTTTCTCTGTCCCCATCCCCTCAAAGGTAAGCACCACAGATCAGTCCTGCCTTTATCTTCTCCCCATCCTGCCCTCATTTATACTTTACTTGTGCCTGAAATTAAAGCAACAAAAAGTGTTTCCTTTGCATCACTCAAGTTCTCTGAGATGCACAAAGCCTCGCCGTGTAAATGCAACCAGCTGCTCCCTGTGCTCATATGGCACAACAGCAGAGCTGTCACTGGCCATAAACAGAGACATGGGTTATTAATGATATATAACACACTGCCATGGGGACCTTCCCCCAAGGCATCCCAGTCCCATCTCTCCAGGGTGTCCCCACTCCCACCAGAAGCAGCATTTCTCCTGGTGGTGCCCCAAGAGGCGCGCTCCCCGTGGGTGACATCCCCTTATCTGCAGAGTTGGATAAGATGGATGTTTTACAGCTACCAATTTTTTAATTAAGGATTTTTTTTTTTAATCCCTTCTGGCACGTCTTCTCTCCCAACACAAGTTTTTCAGCCCAAATCTCACCCTCTAGTTACAAAGCATTTGTGGGGTGGAACTTGTATCTGCACAGGGACTAAAGCTCTTGCAAGATCTTCACCATCAGGGAAAAAAATGGGCTTATTTACCGCTGTGCTCTTGGAAACCATGATTTCTCCTCCATCCCTCACTCCCCTTGTCTCCCCCTTTACTACTCTATGTTTTCCCTGCTGCCTAATGAGCCCTCCAGAGACCTGCAGGTATAAAACTCGTTACAGCTCCCTCCACGTACCCGCATCAATAAGTGAAGGAGTGCAGAGAGAACGGGAGGGAAGCTGTCACTTTATTTCCCCATGAATTACAAACCACTTTAAAGTCTGGCACTCAGGAAAGGGCCAGTGAGAAATTGCCCCTCGTACAGAGATAGGGGTTTTCTTTATGTTTCTTGCCAGAAACTTGGCAAAGCCTCAGCTTAAGGCAGTCACAGAACCTCAGCGTCTGGAACGAATGGGAAGCTGGGAAGGACATTATGAGCTTGTCATATTCTCTGGACTTAGGTTTCCCACTCCTTTCCCAGATTTATTCTCTTGCTCTGTGTGAAGCAGTGAAGTTCAAAGTGGTGGAGAGTTCTGGAGCCACTTGCTACCCACAGCCAAGGCCAGATTTCAAAAATCCCAAACCCTGGGCACACATTTAGGCATGTAGAGAAGCAAATAGACTGTCAAAGCTGCTCAGGATATGCTGGGGCTGTGTTGGCTGCTTGTTCTCCTTCTTAATGGAGTTCAGGTGTGTAAAACAGACTCCTGCAAACCAGGACCAAGTATGTAAAAGCCAGAGGTGTTTGCTCAAGCACTGTTAGTAACTCGCACGCTGGTGACATCTGATGTGCCACCACGTGCTCGAGTGTGTCCAGCTAGACTTCCACACCTGCAGAAATACCATAAAGCCACAAACACCTGGCGTGTTCGTAGGGACGTGAGGGTTTCCAGGAAGAGTTAAGTGAGTGTGCCTCCCACTGGCACCCAAGTGTGGGCATGATACCCAGCAGCTGTTTGCTGCCAGCGGGGCTGAATGTGTGTGTGCACATCCCCATCAGGGCACAGCACACTGGTGTGTGCTGGAGGACGCTCAGGACGGGGAGCTGTGAGCAGTTAATGCTGGCTGTGCATTTGCAGCAGGCAGGAGGGAGAAGTGGTGACCTCTGGAAGGGGCTGTGCTGAGCAGGCAGCTCTCGCATGCGGGCAGAGGGGCGGGGGGAGCACTCAGCCAGCTCCGAGGGGTCGGGAAATGAAAAACCCTCTGTATCAGCTTCTTTTGTCATCCAGAAGTGGCACAGAAAAATCCAGCCCTGCCACCCAAAGAATGCAAAATACGGAACAGGAGGAAGAAAATAATGCCTGGCCAGTGCCCTTTCTCTGGCTGTCTGTCACATCTTCCTGTGGCATGGATCCCATTTCCAGATCAAACCCCACTGATGTCAGGCCTTTACCTTGAACTGACTTTCACTTGGAAAACAGAGAGAGAAAGCAACTTGGAGAGAAGACCACTTGGAGAGAAAGCCACCACATTACTGGAACAGACACAAGTAAAATCAGGAATTTTTTCCTGAAAGTCCAAATTCCCCATTTCCCACTCATCGAATGAACCACAGGTAACACAGATCACTCACTGCTCATAAACATGCAACAAAGGATGTGGTTTGTGCAGTCACCAGGCACTGACCTTCACTCTCTGAGGGTTCATCCAGTGCTGGATGTCTTGCACGGTCTCGTTCACACGCAGGAGGATGGGCTCGTGACTGTGATCCAGACAGGAGGTGGTACACTCTGTGCCTGCTCAAAACACAAAGGGGATAAAGCTAAAGGGTAAAGCAAGCAGCTTCTGACCCTTCCAGCATCCTTCCAGCTGAAGGACAGGATTACAGCTCGTTTTTCCTAAATTGCAATTAGCAGCCAACCATAACTATCACATATCTCCTAGCCACACGTGAAGTGCTGAGTACAACCCTGCACTAAGCAGGAGTGCGTAGGGGTGGCAGGTATTCCAGGGCCTTTTGGAACAAGCTGAAAATCTAAGTATTTCTCTGGCTATTAACTCCAGGAAGGGGGAGCTTTCAGATCATCAAGACAATGTGAAGGTTTTTCCATTTCAACTGCTCTTTCAAGCAGTGGAGCTGATTAGGGAGAGATTGTCTAACTCATCTCACCTATGACATGGCAGAAACCTATTGTTTGATCTGTCAGATTTACAAACATCCTATAATAATCTTCCAAAGGATGACCAAGCCTAATGATATTGTAGACCAGCTCTCACCCAAGTCCCACAGTTGATAAGAAGTACACAGAAAGGTAATGGTGGCTTTGTTCACACATAAACGTGTTTTTTCTCTGATTAACTGTCATGCCCAGTGGGAATCCTGTCCTTTCTTTATTAAAACATGCTGTGATACTCTGCAGCAATATCCCAGAGCCCTCTGGTGACACAACCATAAGCCCTTGTGTGTTGGACCATTACCATTTCCCCCCTGGAAAATCACTCTTGAATGGCACAGCTGCTGCAAACATGTCATTAGGATTTCTGCACTCCAATCAGCGCTGGGGGAGGAATTAATCTCTGCACTGGTTTGGGGAGCTGAACCTTTGGCTCAACACACGCCTCAGCCTGGAAGGGCAGATTAGGTGTCTGAGGAATTACTGAAGGTGTGTGGGATTCATAGTGACCATGACTGGTTGCTATTATTTTTCCCACCTGCTTCTGCCTTCTCACATTCTCCACTTGGAGGAGTCAGTGGGAGCAGTCAGACCCTAGGCTGGAAAGAAGGGGAGAGAGCTTGGGGTTTGTTTTGCTCTCCCAGGACACCTGGAAGTGGCTTCAAGGACCTACTGGATGAGGCCTATTGACACCACCCCCATAGTGAATGACTGGCTCCTCCCCATGAGTGTGGAGGATGCTTTTTCAAAAGGACATTGATCAGCCTTCAAAAAATGCAGAGAAGAGAGGAAAACCCCAACATCTGTTCCCGAAAGTTGGTGCTGGGTGAGCCTACAAAGTGTGTGGTATGTCTCCATCTGCTGAAGATGAAAGCCAGCGGCCACTGTGCCCTCTCTGAGCTCTAAATCCCTCTCCAGAGAGAGCCACACTCTTGTGAGGGATTTACCCCATGCATCCCTCACCTCCATGATGCTGTGTGGTCCCATCCTGGGGTCAGGCCCACCAGTCCCTGGGATTGGCACCTGCCGACAGTCGCTGCGACAGGAGCGAGAGCTGGCAGGCGCCCAGCACTGAGATGCTCCCCTCCAAACCAGGACCTGGGGTTTCTCTCCTTGCAAAAACCTGTCTGGCCCTGGAGGTAACCTCGTCTCAAGGGTAAAACGCCTCTCCACATTAAGAGTCGCCGCAGCCTCCTCGCCGCTCGCTCTCCCGCGCTCCACCGCGCTCATGGAGAGGAGCGGGTCGGAATTGTTTTGATATATGATCTGTAATTGGCATCATTACAGAGCGGTGATCTCATCCAGGTCGTGTTCTCCTCCCCAGGGAGGGAACACAAGGAGGCTCGTAGTCCTCCGCATGGCTGCGATATAATGAGGGAGCCGCGCAAGGAGGAAATTTCTCCAAGTTCAAAGGGACAGGCGGAGGCAGGAGGGGGATGGCAGGGGCTGGGAGGGGGGCTGCAGGAAGGGGCCTCACAAACCTGTGTGGGCTGCAGGCAGTGCAGCTCCTGTTGCAGCCCTTACAGCAGGGAGACCCCCAAAATGGGGGCTGAAAATACAATATAGTGTGTACAGCTCAGAGTGTCTGTCCCTCCCTGTGCCTGGGTGCCACAAAGCCAAGCTGAGCACAGGGGTCATCACCCCTTGCACAAGGAACAGGTACCCCAGAAAGAAGGAGGAAAACAGACCCTTTAAAACAGCTCCTAAACAACTACCATACCAAAAGGAATGCTCAGCTGGTCTCATACTGTTTCTGGGGAGAGCTGAATTATCCCAGTGTTGCATTCTCTTGTCACCTCCCTGCCTTTCAGCTCCTGGAGTGTGGGTTTTTGCACGTGGCTGAGGGAGTGGGGCATTCTGAAAGCATAAGAGCAAAAGCAGGTACAATCCTTCCCTGTATTTTGCAGACTGGATGTGTCTGTGGCACAGCCCGGTACGCTGCTGCCCCTGAAAACCAGCTGGCCAAGAAAGCACTATGAAACCAGAGCATGTTACATGATGCCTGGCCTCTCAGAGCTTCACGTTTCCTGAAAGCATTTCCCTGAAAAGCTTCCCGTAGCAGGTTCTCACTCAGGCAAACAGGTCCACAGAAGGTGACTCGAAGGACTGCAGGCTCCTTCCTGCCTCCCTGCCATTCCCATCCTCTCATCCTCTGGTCTCCTGCTGCCTGCTCCTGTCTGGGGACAGGTGTTGGGGGTGCTCACCCACCTATGCCGTAGCCACCAGCGCACTGCAGCTTCAGGTGGCTGTTGAGCTGGGTGGGCAGAGCACACTGTCCCTGCATCTCCCTGCACAGGTGGAAGGACCCGCTCCAGGTGCCATCTTTCCGGCAGTGGATCACGTTGCTCCCACGGCCCTGGGAATGAGGGAAGGAGATAATGAGGATTGACACAAAAACAGCAAGGTGAGGCTGAGAGGTGAGAAGGGAGGACAGCTCATTTTTGTGAGAGTAAAGTTCTGCTGGAGCTGGGAAAGCCCCTGGTTGGGACTGCCAGCCCTTGGGAGGGGGGGAAAGAAGGAGTTTTCTTCCAAAGAATAAAGAAAAGGAAAGCTGCAGTGCTGACACACACACACACACAAACACACTCATCTCTTCTGTGCAATTCAAGGTCTTTACAAGCCCCTTGCAAGGTCTACACCTTACAACAGCCCCACTCCTGTTGCAATAAAGGTGCCTTCACCCCATTTGCCTTCCTTCTTTTTTCAGAGGGGTTGGTGTAGAATGCAGACAAACTTTTTCCTCTTCACATTTTCTAACCAGTTACATCATCTGTCTTGAAAAAGAATCCCCAATGGCCATCTGAAGGAGGAAGGGAGAGTAGGACATGAGCTTAGCAGGGCAGAACGTGCTCTTTAGAGCTTGGCTGCCTTGAGTGACAGCAGGCGAAGGGGCTGAGATGGACACGCACAGAGGCAGGTGGGAAGGATGAAAAAAAATCCTCTGGTGTGGGAATGGGCAAGGAATAGAATATGACATTTCTCTTATAGGAGAGATTCTCCGTATGATACTGAAGAATGAATACCAAAGTCCAAGGGGAAATATCATGCCCTTTAAAAACAACAAAGCACTGCACAGGCAATCTTTTGTCAGATCTATCCTCACGGCATTGGGGATTTCTGTGCAAACAAGCTGTTCTGTGGGATCTGCGAGCCCGACTGCCATGGGGCAATGTGGGCCATTCAACAGGAGGATGTCTGGTGTGCTTGGGCTCCAGAACTCCTGTGGGGGCATTATTGGGTGGAAGAGTCATGCAGGATCTCTGCTTCTCCTCACCCGCTTTTCCTGCCAGACTCATTGCCTGCAATCTACCCACCCTGCTCTTGGACACTGCTGGATATCTTTGGGATCCTTTAATGTGCTGTCCATGCTGGACTGATGAACTTTTTGGAGGAGCTCTGCCCCACAACTCACAGCCATTGTGAATTTACATCACAGGGGCTTGCACAAGCCCCTGGTACTGGCATGGAAGAGGGCTCAGCCTTCATTGGTAGTCTCACCCTTAATATCCTAATGCTTCCCTTTTTTTTGCTCAGCTTTGTTAATGAACACAATTTTTAGTGAGATGCAAAGTGGTCTTAGCAGCAGACTACGGTGTGGGACCTGCTTCCCCTTCTCCAGACATCTGGCCATTGCCAGAAGTAATAAGGAAATCATATGAAAGGAATAATGGAGCAGATGGACTCAGGGTGAGATCCAGCTTGGTGATTCTCACTTAAGGGCCAGTTTGGCAGAGATTGATTAATTTAGGCCTGACTGTTGATATGATTTGTGTGCAATATGCAGAAATGGAAGACCCTTGCTCTGGTGCCAGAGGAGGTACCCGCTTAAATGACCATTAGTTCCTGGTGATTAAGAGATGCTGTATGTGCAGCCAAGTAATGATCTTTCAGCATGGTGACAGAGTCAGGAATAAATTGCTAAATTATAATTGAGCACAATTTGCTGTTTTAGCAAGTGTGGTGCCCTTCCCTTGTGATGTCCATGCCAGGGTTCAAACATGATTCTCAAATATGAGCCAGGGTTCAAACATGATTCTCAAATATGAGCCATGAAACTTGATTTATGTTCCTGGAGCTGGCTGTGCTTGAGGGTACTCTTATATAGCTTCAGCAGAGATACTCAGAGATCCCAGGATATCCATTGCTATAGTAACATACTGTCCATCATGCCCTGACCTGCAAAATCTCTTGTGAAAATCCCTGCTGGGTTTCTTGCTTGGATGCAACGTGTATTATCACCTTATATAGCTGAGAGAGACTTAGTGGGGTTTAATCCTTAAATAATTAACACCTCTCAAGTGGTTCTGGCTTGTGCCAGGAGTCCTCACTCTTCTTCTGCAGCCTATTTTCTGGGATATCTGAAAATACTTTTCACTGTAAATCCCTTTCTCAAGATTTTATCTGCTCCTTTGCCCAAAGTGCTTTCGCAGCTGAGAAGTCACTCCTCTCCCTCCCTGTGAACAGAGTTGTATCTCTCCCTTTCCAGAGCTCACTTCATTACTGCTGTAACCCTGACTCCACTGCTTGCTCCTCTCCACGTTCACCTCGTTTAAAAGCGAACACAAGGCTGTTCCACCAGCTGTCATTGCCATGGAGGTCCACACATGGAGCTTCCCCACGCTGGCAGTGCTGGAACACGGCACAGGCCATGCTGCCCCTCTGAGCGAGTGGTGGGTGCAGAAAGCCACAGCTGCCATGTTCCAGAGCTCCCACCCCCTCTGCACCCATGCCTGCAGCTTCTCATTTCACACTGCTCATAACCTCACTCCAAGTCTTAAACAAGGAAAACTTTTCCAGGTGCCCTGATGTGAAACGCTGGGGTTCTGCCTGTGGTCCCTGTGGAGAAGGCAGGCCAGAGGACAGGGAACAGGGGCTTTTAACTTGTGGAGTAGGTACCAGAAGTGTCTTTCACATAACTGGCCCTAGGGCAGGGTTGGTACCTTTCTCAAGGTCCCCAGATTGATATTAAACAGCCCTTGTCAGAGCACTCCCTGCTCCAAGCAGTGCATGCAGTAGCTGCAGCTTCCACATCCCCACTTTCTCTTCCCAAGCACAGGAAGCAGCAGCAGCACTTCTGGGAGAAGTTACTTATCTCACAAACTATAATTACCTCTGGTGAGGAAAACTAGGCATTTCAAATAAGATAGTAGAGGCCAGACCTTCTCATATCAGCGAATACAGCTCCCAGGAAGCCAAAGGCAACATGCTGATTTGTGCCAGATGAGGATCTGACCTCTGATGCCAAATGACACCTTCACAGCCAGAAAAACATGGAAGTTTAGAGAGAATTCACCTGAACAGTTGTAATCCCTATGGTGTTAAATTATCACACGTCACACAGACATACAGTGGTAAGAACTGGAGAGAAAAGAAAGGTAAAAGAGAATGAATAAATGGGATAAGTGTAGAGAACTCACACTCTACTTACTTTCATTTGTTGCTCCTTATTTTCTAGACAGATCATTAAGCCACTGTGGCAGATTTTTCTGCCACTTACTGTCCAGAAACAGTTAAGTCATTCACTTCTAATCCTCTACAGGTAATAGTAAATACTGTTACTACTGCCATAAAAATAATATTTCCAGGTTCTCCCTCAACTTTAATTATGTTTTTCCCTTCTGCATCTCCCTGGTTTAGGAAGAGCTCAATGTTCCTTGGGCTCTCCAAGATCAGTGTCTTTAGGGATGATATGATAAAGCCAGACTTGTTTGTGCTGAGGTAATTTGGGTAAGGGATACTCACCGACTGGCTGTCATCATCCTCACACTTGATTCGGCACTCGCTGTTGAACTGGAAGCCGTTGGAGCACTGGTAGAGCCCGTGGAACTTGGAAGGTGGAGGGTCACAGGTGACGGGCACACAGGCGCCTGGCAGCCACGTGCCATCTTGAGTGCACTGGATCTTAAAGGCTCGCCTTTTTGTGCAGAAAAAAAGCAACATTTAGTGAGTGGCTGAGTCAGCTGGGAGCCTCTAAATGCTCCGAGCTTTGCTAGCAGGTTGCAGGAGATGGGTGTGCTCGAGCTTTTAACACTTGGGGAACAAGTTGTGAATCTGCGTCATGAGGTCTCTGAGCAAAAATAATGATTATTTGCAAAACCAACATTGAGCTGCCCAGCCTAAACTCCTCTTTTGGCCTTGGACACAACTGCCAAGAACTCAGCTTCCCAGGCTTGTGGGCTGTGGTTGGTTTGAAGAGGGTTTGTGCAGAGTCAGAAGTATATGACAGCACTAATCCTTTTCTGCAGGGTTTCAAAGGGGACTCCCCAGGCTGCATATCAAAGGGGTATTTCTAAGGTAAAGTCAGTTTTTTGAGCACTGGTCAGGATTTTCAAAGAAGCCTAAGTGAGCTGGGTGCCTAAACTGACACTGCAAAGCTATCTGCATGAAGGAATTGCTCCATGCTATTCCCTACAGCACACAGAGTCCGTGATAAACAACCCCTTCCCAAAACCATTTTAACTCATGGCGTTCTGAACCAGGCACAGCTTTAGTCTTTCACGTACTTTCTTGATTTCCTGGAGGATCCAGGGACGTGGTAACCTGGTTTGCATTTGTACTTGCAGAATGAGCCCACTTTGTGCTTGTCTTCTCGGCAGCGAGAGGTCTGGAGATCCGCGTTGGGGACGATGGAGGGTGCTCGACACATCAGCTCACACAGGGCTTCAGGAAAGGACCACAGCCCGTCCTCCATGCAGGTCAAGTTGCTGTTGTTTCCTGAGAAGAGCAGTGAGCAAAGTTAACAACGTTCAGCAGGACTGTTTTCTTTTGAAATGTCGTTACACCCATAAGATATCAAAAGCCCCCTCAGCCGATTTGACAAGTTCAAGTGCATTGAACATTCACATGTCCTATGCGTTCTCTTGCTCTAGATGATGTCATTAAATCATTAAGGACTCTGCTTTCAGGTGGCAGGCAGGCAGTGCTTATTTCAGGAAATGCTATAGCATAGGGGAAGCCACACGGGCTTTGTCATCTTTTGTATTTCTCTTCCTTATTTTGTTCCTCTCTGAAAGGAAGCTTGTTTCATACACCAACCCCCTCCTCTCCAAAGCCATGGCTTTAACAGAGGGTTTGGTGCCATCACATTCTTCATTCTGCTTCTGTGTTATATCTTTTCCCTGAATCTGTCCCTTTTATTTCAATTTGGAACCTTTTGGAGCAGCATCTGTTAGTATTAGAGTCACTACTCCAACACAATGAGGAGCCATTCTCAGCTGGGGACTCTCAGTCCTTGGGGACTACTGTGATAAATATGATTCATAATACTCATTAGAGACTCATTTTCCTCAGGAAGATTTCTTGGCCAACACCTCAAAGGTAAAAGGTACAATAGATCTATTTGCCTCTGCTATGACCTACTTGACTTCAGAAGGTTAAGCTAAAAGTAGCCCAGTCTCAGTGTATTTTACATTCTTTGTTATTTTATACCATATGTTGAAAAGGAATAAGCTTTTCCTAAGAAACAAAGCACAGCTATGAGCCACTAACCCTTCAAAAATCCCTAATATTCCATTGAAATCCCTGAGCATTGCTGCAGGAACTCTTCTCAACCCACAAGGCATATTTTCAACAGTGAGCCAACTTCGGAGTTATCCGAAATAATACTGACAAACTGCTAACCCCGGAGCAATGCCATCTCTGTGCGAGGGGAGGAAGAGAGCCGGGGCATGAGGCTGGAATTCAAAGAAGAAGAAAACAAAAGGCTCTGGAGGGCTCAGGAAGGTATGTGGAGGAGCCCTCCTGCCCTGCCCTCAGAGATAAGAGAAGCTGCATTAAATCAGCCCTGCATTTCTCTCTCCCCTCCCCAACTGCAGATGATTGCAGAGGTATTTTGTGCAGAAGGGAGCTCTTTTCTGGAGCACCAGCATGTTCCTCTGCTCTGACTCATGCAGCAGCATCCAGCCCAGCCGTGGTGATATCATACTTGCCACTGCAAAGCGATAAGCTGTGACATTACCAACAGTGGCTGTCATGACGTCAGTGATTGAATTAGGCATGAGTCATTCCAACGCTGTTCTCCAGAAGCTTAGTGGCAACATTTATTAGTCATCAGTGATGGCTCTACACCAAACAGTGCCTTTACCTCACAGCTCAGTGTTTTTGGATAAAAAAGTGATGCTACACATGAGAGCTGCAGCCCCTGACCTGGGGTTGGTTGTCATCCCTCCTGCTACCCCTGCCTGACTCATCAGCTGTTGTTGGTCATGATGAGTGTCATTATTTTCACTGCCTGCTCAAAAAAATTTGAAGTACTTAAAAGGGAAAAACACCTTTTCTTGAAGAGTGTATAAACAGGAAAAAGGAGGTTTTTGTAAAAAAGTAGTCTTAGTTTTCTCTTAACTATCCTTTGAGTAGTCATAACTTTGACTGTGTGTTGGCTCTTTTTGGCTATCTCTCATCAGAATTAAAAATAATTAAGTTTGCTTATATATGAAGAAATCAACATAGCCTTTTCCTAAAATGAAGAATACTCCTCATGCCTTCCTTTTTGGGATTTGCAGTGAACCCCAGTAGAAAAGGAGATACCACAGGTACAGAAAAAGCTTATGTGGTCCTTGTACCTGAGTTGACAACAGCAGTTAGGTTTACTCCACTGCAAGATGGACAAAATAATTTGGGTCTAATGTTCCTTCAAATTAACAATAGTATCTTTTCTTGCTTCCAGAGGACCAGATCAGAAAGGGAAATGTGCCAGTGAGCAGAAGAGTTGATGGTGCTGACAAGAGGATGAGGATGTTAGCAGAAAAGTAGCAGGGAAGAAAATAGAGGAGGAAAGGACAGAGGGCAACAAGCTTGGTTATTTCTAGGGGAAAAAAACAAAAGAAAAAAGGAAAATGTAAAGAGTGCCAAACAAGAAGAGGACAGAAAGGTCAGAGTAGAGCAAAGTGAGTGTGGAAAAGGAGAAGAGAGATGGTGGATTAGAAAAAAAACAGTGATGGGGGTCTGTACCATTGGGATGTGGGGCTTTTCAGTCTTCTCTTGCCTTCCCAAATGCATGGAGGAGGCATAGAAGGGAGACAGACAGTGAAAATAGACAAAGCATGGGAAAGAAGATGAGAGAGTTCAATCTGATTTATCCCCATGACTTTTCCATGTTTTGGTTGTATGGAAACAATATTCCCTGTCACTACTGCCTGGCCAGCCGCGATCAAGGAAAGGTCAAAGGAAGGTAATAGAGAAATGCAAAGGAACTTAACTTCTAATATAAATAAACCTTCCACAGAGTCCCATAATTCTTCCTACTTAAAATATCATGAATACTTCTAAACGAACAGCAACAGTAACATGTATTCCTAGGAGCAGTCTGTTTAGCTGTGTCTCTCAGGTCGCTGCAGACACCCCCCGATACCTTTCAGCAGAGCAGGAGGTCGGCAAGTGAAGGAGCATTTCTTGCCAAAGGTGGTCCCCTCGCTGCAGTTGAAGGTGGCTGGGTACACGTGGTACTGGTCTGGGACACCACAGTCCACGGGCTCACACGTCACCTGCTTGTTCCACTTCCCATCCATGCAAGTCATGGTGACGCTAGACTCCGTCTGGAAAAAGACACATGGCTACAGCCACCACAGCCAGCAAGGGAGAGATCAAAACCATTTCAAGCCTAACAGCCATTCTTCTGGCTCACAAGTTAAGCACAGCCATGTCTGGTCCCTACCATCATCCTTTGGACAGCAGCTATAAAACCCACCAAGGCTCATAAGAAACAGTGTCAGAGAAAGGATTTGCCACCAGAACACTTCCACAGAAAGAGTGGAGCTCTACAAATAATCCAAACTCTTGTCTGGCCTCCTGAGACAAGCAGGGAACCTGCTGCTCTGCCCTGCCATCAGAAAGGAGCACAAGCCTGAGCTGTTTGGAGCTGACAGCTGTCCCCCATCCTTGTCACTTTTGCGGTGACATAGCCACTCCAAGGGGATCCCCCTGTGCTTCCAAGTAGTCAAACTCATTCTTGGGTTTGAAGTAAAAGCCAGGCTGACACAAAGCCATTTGGGACTCTCATCTGAGGCTCTCCTGAGAGGTGTCAGTCACCCTTGGATGGGGATCCCAGGGGAAGTGCCTCGGGCCACATCAGCACTGTGTGCAGACACTGACAGCTGCTGCTGTGGCTGCTCTGGCAGAGTGCCCCAAAGCTCCACACAGAACCAGGGCTCTGCTCTCCTGACACCACGGACATGAATCCTGAGGGACAGACCTTGTCCAGAGGAACATGCCAAAGACAGACCCAAGAGGCAAGTAACTCCTGCTCATAACTGGCACCTGGAACTTGAGAGGTTGTACACAGGGTCAGTGCCTGTGCTCTGACTTCCCCAAAGTCACTCTACCATCACAGCTACACAGAAACCACACTTCTGCAGATCTGAGGAACAATCCAAACTGCACAGCACACTGGAATCCTGGAGAGCTAGGGGCAAAGAAGAAAAATGGGGGGAAGTAAAGGAGACACCCATCTAAAGCTAAGATGAATTTACTGGGTGACTGAAGGAGAAACAGATGTTGGCAAAGAGAACTGAGTAAACAACATATCCACTTTCTAATTAAAAATGGAAAATTATTAAAAGCTAGAAGTGAAGAATCTAACTCTTCCCTCCACACCAGAAAAAAAGAGAGGGACAGAGGTTAAGAAATGTGAGAAACCCAAACATGAGAAGGGGAAGATACTGGCGAGCAATCTGACCAAGCCATACAGCAGCACTCCTCTGCCTCCAGGGAATATTTTATTCAGGGCTGGTATGCTCACAGGAGATTTGCACCGCCGGCCATTGATCTGGGTTTATAAAAGGAAAGGGAATTTTTCTAGCACACATCAAAGGGACCTGGATTCCCTTTTTGCAAAAACACCCTAATGGTTTCAACAGAAGTTCAGACCTGTCTCCCTTTGATATATGGTTGCATTCAGAATGGAAAAAGCAGTCCCAGAGCTGAGAAACTGGACACTTCCCAAGTGGGCACAAAACCCCTTTTCTAGACTGTGGAGTTTATTTAAACAAGGAGCACTGCTGACGGAAAAAATGCCTTTTCTACGAACTCAGAGTAGCACATTCTGGGATACTCAGAGCCATCAGGTGAAGTGATATTGTGTGATATTCCCAATCATTTCACTCCCCAGTGCCTGTTAATTCTGCCTTTGTTGCTTATCAGACTATCTGTACCATTGGAAAGTGTATATAAACTGTAGGCAGTTGATGTCCTGAAGATTCCAGGGGGTTGCAGCGTGGTGGCCACAGGAAAAGGGATAATACAGCATATTCCCATGTCTTGCAAACCATCAGCACTCCAGGATGAGCTGCTCCAGCATCCAACAAAGCCTCCATTTCTCTTTAACAGCTGCTGTCATCAAATAACACAGCAGCACCATGGCTGCTGGAACTTAAAACATAAACCCAAGCTATGGATGTCAATAAACTCAAGCTAATGATGTCAGGGGCTATCCAAATGTTATGGAAAAGACAAAGGTCTTGAATAGTTTCATGCTGGATACTGGATCCGTGCTGAAGGTCTATCAGTGACAAGAGATTCAGCTCCAGGAATAGTTATTGGTGCTGCTGTGATCTAGTTTAGGAATAAATGAGTGTTCCTGCTAGCTGATAGTGGCTGCTGAGACACAGTGTGGTGCACCAGGAAGTTTCTCTAACAGGGCTGCACATCAGATGTACCTCTGCAGAACACCAAAGAAACAGTGCAAACTCAGAAACCAGAATATAACACAAACATTTAAACAAAAGCAATATCTGTGTGTGACAGTCACACCTTAGAAAGGGAATGTTTTTCCCAAGCTACCACTTGTGAGAGTATTTCAGCCGCAGCCCCTGGCCTTTGTTAGCAGAAAGCAGCAGGACACCAGAGCCTGCTGGAAATGCCACAGGTCTGGGATTGCCCCTCTTTGGAAGGGATCCCTCTCCACAGTCATACTCCCACTGTCCTTTGTCTGTGCCCCTGTTCCAGACCTTGATATTAAAATGTTAGTAATTAACGTGTCCATGTTCTCATCTCTGGGTTTTTCTCCATGGTACCTTCTCCACAAACCCCCTGACCTAATCTGTAAGAGCTCTCTCAGACCCCTATGGCTTTTCCTCTTCTTGGCACACTGGGAATGCCATTCCCAAGCAGAGAAGCTGTGTCCATGGGGGAAAGACCCTGGCTACTCAGCTTTTCCCAGTAATTTGTTCCACATTTCGTATGATGGAAGCTGAGGTTTTCAAGGTCAGACATAATAATGGCACATTTTAGAGCATGTCTATCATGTCATCACTTGACATGTAATTTTGCAGCAGGACACAGCAGAGAGCATTTCCTGCAATGGAGATGAAGACCAGTGGCTCTGACTGGAAGCACAGAGGACAAACCTACCACAGAAATTATTGCTGATGGCACCCACCAGCTTTTGACTTTCCCCTCTTTCGATGTCACACCTGAGGGAGGGATCACTCTGGTGCCCAGGGACAGCACCCCTGGCTACTGAGCAGGATCCTGTCCCTCCCCAGCCCCACACCACACCCTGGAGGTATTTTTGATAGACTCAGCCCTTGGATCTGGTACTGGGTCTTAGTGGCAGCATCTGCCTCTGCCTTTTCAGCCCTCCCACCTGGAGCTGAGCAGGCACGTGCCTGTTTCGCCTGTCTGATCTGACAAGGTCACCCAGCTCACAGCAGCCCACACGAAGCACTTGGCTTTCTCATCTGCTTTATTAGCTGTCACTTTGGGCACTTTGTGCTGCTTTGACTGGCATCACAGCAAGTGCTTCCCTTCACATCCTGCCTTCCAAAAGAGGCTTAAGCAAGTAGGGAGGGTGGGCAAGGAGGAAAGAGGGGGGAAACAAATGGGGTCTCCAAAGAGACAGTGTACAGTACAGTGAAGAGGATGCAAACTTAAACAAATCTGGTGCCAGAAAGATTTGTTCCTCAGGACTTTTAACAGCCTGGGAGAATTCATGTCTCCTTCCTGCTGCCCAAGATCCCAGCCGGCTCCTTCTTCAAGCGATGCTTCACGTGTGAAGTTTCCTCTCCTTAAAAATGAACAGCTGTGCCCTCCCCTCTAAGTATTCTTCCACTTCTGCCCACTACTGTGCCTCTAATTGAACCCACATGAGCCGTGCTTTCTTTTCCTGGCATGATTGATGATGCCTTTGCACAACATTAGGGAGCTGCTGGGTTTTAAATAACACCTCTTGACCAGAGCAGCAGTGGTGGTAGCTTCAAGGAGAGATGACAACAAGCAACTGAATGAGCGGGGCTTTCAGTGAAGGACAAGGGGGAGGAAAACAGTGAAAGACAAAGGGGGGGAAGAGGAAGAAGACAAGAAAGAGTGATGGAGTTGTCAGAGGGGGTGGGAAGAAATCAGGGAGGGAGAGTGAAAACATCCCCAAGATCTTCTTTGTGAGAAAGATACATGAAGGATTTTGCTCCATCACTATGCAAACCCCTTTGTTGTTGTTGAAGTCCCTAAATGAGGATGAGAGTGAGCCCAAGAGTCTGTAAACAGCTCAGCTTTCTTTTTCTTTTCAAGCAGCAGTTTCTGCTGCACAAGAGTGCTGGTGAGTTTTAGGGTTTGGTGATTTTTACAGGGTTTTAACAGAATTTGGGAATGGGGGCTTCTTAGAGAGGGAATGAATGCACATTTTGCCCTAAAACTGATTAAAATGGTGGCTTCAGAACACACAGAGTCTAAAAAGTGCAGAAACTCTTAAGAAGATTTTCAAGGACCCTTTAGATGTAGAAGACTGATTTGAAAGGTGACTTGTGCCCCTACATCACAGAGCTGCTTTTGAAAATGTCACTTTTAATTCTCTCTTTGACCTTATTTTTTTTTTTTTTTTTGTCTTTCAATAAAATAGGGAACACAAATGTGGTTCAGATGCTAAACAAAGGTGTTTTCAGTGGTCTGTGAATCACCTTCACCAGCATGCAGTGGTCGTGGGCCACTGATGGTCAGTCTGCTCTTTGAGACCTCACCTCAGCCCAGGCTCCTTCCTACCCAAGAGTGTGGAAGCAAATAGGGAAGAAGCACAAGACCTTTTGATATGAGAAATCCAGTCCGTGGATTCTGGACTTTCTCAGATAATTCATTTCTTGCCTACACATTCCACAAGTTCTAGTTTGAAGCACCTGACACAAAGAAATAAAACAAGATGATAGTGAAAGAAACTGTCTGTTCCTTTCCAGTGGATCTCTGAAGCACACTAATAAAACTTTAAAAGCATGTGTTTAATGTGCTTAGCTGGTCATGGGTATCTTTAAGATGCTCCACTCCTTCCCTGACTTGAACAGTGAATGTACAGCACTGAGCAAAACAAAGCCACTGGCCTGAGGGGGTTTTATTGGTGGAAAAAGACAACAAAGTGCAATAGCAGAGCAGGGTGAGAGGAAGCGTGTTGTAATAGGCAGTGAATCACGTTAGCAAGGGGTGCTAAAATCCTCTGCTCCTGTCATATGAGTCTGATCAAGGCTCTGAAACCAAACTTCTCCCAGCAAAACCATGCCCAGCTGGCCGAGCCTCCCCAAAAGGTAATGCTTGCATTTAAATAACACAGGGCTGCTGAAGCATGCTCAGGCTGTTTTATTTGGTTTGGGTTCCCTGCGTGCTCCATGTACCCCATGTACAGATCTCTTCCAACAATTTCCTGGTTCAGCCATTCAGGCTCGTTTTGAGAACTTGTTTTCTGTTCTGTAAAAATGCTCAGCTGGAGCTGGGGTTCTGGTGCTGATGCCAATTAGGATGGAAGAGGCCCAGCTCGCAGGGTCCTGTATTTGTTTTGTAATTGAGTTGAAAGGGCTGACTCATTCCCCTCCACTCTGTCTCCCCCCTCTGCGAGCTTATGAAGAACACAGGATTTCACAAGTACAGACAGGCTGCTGAGTGCTGCCCCAGCCCCTGCCCCAGATGTGAGTGCTGCCCCAGATGTGAGTGCTGCCCCCACAGCCAGGGACAGGAGGGGCTGATGGAGGAAATGTCTCACTCAGAGGATGTGGCAGTGTTAGACATGAGAGCACAAAGTGGGGTGTCAGCCCTGCATCGCCCTGTCCCCAGCATCCTGCTCCCAGGGCCATGCCACACATGCACCTCATCCACCTCTCCCAGCAGAGAGCACCTGCATTTTTTTTGATGTTTAAATAAATTGCTAGTTTTCCTCAATTCCCCCCTCACTGCATGAAGATGTGCTGCTTTTGTGGGACTGGATTATTAATGTACAGGTTAGAGAAGATGGGGAACATTTCCTGCTCTGCTGGGGGACATTTTTGGTGATTTGTCTGGAAGCAAAAAGGTTTTGGTGTTTCTTCTGTGCCCTCCATGTAGTACATGTACATGAAGTACATGTCAGGGTGTGGTTGGGAGCTGAAACACCGCAAAGGAGTTAATACATTGTTAGCCTCAATCCAAGGACTAAAAATTAGGTATTTTTTCCCAGAAATTGGTTGTGCAAAAACACAAGCATCCTACTCCCAAAACACCAACCCCACTGTTCAGCTGAGTAGAGCCAGTGAGATCAAAGAAGGACTGAACACAAACTTTTTGGTTTGAAAATTTCTAAATTCAGGGAACATCTGAGCTCTGCTCATTGCCATTAACTCTTCCTGCAGAGTCAAAGGGCTCCTGTTCTGATGGCAAGCATTTGGATAAGAGCTTATCCCAAGGCTGGGCTGAGATTTTAGGCTCCAGCCTGAGTTATTACTCAATTTCTCCACAGCTGTTTGCTCATCCTGGTCTTGTGCACCATAACAAAATTGCCCCAGCAGGACAAACCTGGCTCTTGACGAGCTCATCATCTCTGTGGATCTGCAGGACGTAGCCAGTCCTGCAGCTGACGTTGCACTGGGCGCCGTTGTCCCAGCTGGTGCCGCCGGTGCAGTTCAGCACCGCGTTCTCAATCTCCAGCCTCTGGCACTCGGTGGATTCGCAGGAGTAGTGGACACAGCTGGGAGGGAGACAAGGAGTGGTGGTGTTATTTGTTAGCAGTTATTTCGATCCATTCTACCAGAGAGTTCTGAACCCAGCTCAGGAAGGGCTTCACAGGCTCTTGGTGTGTCCTGACGGACAGAGGCAGTGGGCACAGTGATGACAATGACAGCAAATTACAGGTTTTTTAGCAAAAGGGAAGAGCCTGCCAATCCTGCATAAATACCTTCTGTTCTGCAATACTGAAGTGCACTATGACCTCCCTACTTCTGTATTAATGTCCGTCCATCCATCCATCCATCCATCCATCCCTCCTGTAAAATCACTCTCCCTCCAAGAGCAGTCCTCATGCCCCATCCAAATTTAAATCTGCTGAATTCAGAAGTGTTGATATTGGCAGTGATAAGTGTGCAAATGTGAGGCGGGGTTCCCGTGATAGACACTGTTATCTTTGAGAAGCTCAGCTGAAATCATCACATTCATTTTATTCCACTTCACAAGGAACACCAAACATCAGCTGTGTAGCTGTGTTGATAAGCTCTTATCAAGCTCAGCAGCATGCTGTCGTTTCAGATCTCTCCAGTTGCTGTCCTGCCATCCATAAAATCTTTCTCTCATGGAAACTGTCTGTTCTCCCTCTGGAAAATTATTGTAACATTTAGCACAACTTGGAAAAAGAGATTTTTGTTAAATTTTTATGTGCACAGAGATGTCTGATTGACACAAAATCTTTCACCGTCTCTGATGACAAACATTACAGCACATGTTCAAATGTGAGTATGGGGTAATCCCTCAACAAAACAGCAATGAAAATGTTGAGAGCCTTAAAGCATGAGGAGAGATTTAGACTAGAGAGAGGGAATATTATTGCAATGAGGCTGGTAAAACATTGACACAGGTTGCCCAGAGAAGCTGTGGATGCTCCATCTCTGGGAAAATTCATGGACAGGTTGGACAGGGCTCTGAGCAACCAGTTCTAGTTAAAGATGTCCTTGTTTACTGCACATGACCTTTAAAGGTCCCTTAAATACAAGCCATTCCATGATTCTATGTGCAAAGAGTTTCTGGATTAGAGATGAAATTTCTGGGATAAGGATCCCTACAAGGTGACATGTATCTGCTGAAACTGAAAATTAATTTAATTTCAATACAGTTAAATTAGTTCTGAAGAGGGAAAATGTTGACTTATTTCACCATCTGCTTGGGTAGGGAAGAACCTGAAAAAGAAAATTATAGAAAGAAAGGAAAGCAATGTATATTTTGAAATAGATTACAAGCAGTTATTCCTGCCGCCTAGAAAAAAAGAGTTAACAGCCACCAAAGCCCTGTTCAGCTTAGTAAGCCCTGACTTAGCACGTACGTGGTGTTTTGCTGTGTTCAAAGCACCCTGCAGACATTATCTAATTAATTTTCGTGACACCCCTGCGAGACACCTGGGCTGGTATTGTTATGCCCATGTTACTGATAGAGAAGCACATCTGCACATGTCTCTACTGAGCTCTAGATCAGATTAAATGACAGTATTTATGTACCTGCACAACTCATTTCTCTGTCCCAGACTAGTGCTATATGGGAAGTGCCCACTGCTTGTAATTTAAGGTTGCTTGTTCAGTGTTGGCCCTTCCCTGGAGTGTGATGAGCCATAAACAATTTCTACATTCAGAAATATTTTATTTCCTCATGGTGCACAAAGCTGCTGGCAGAGCTGAGGAAGGAGGATTCCACCTCTGTGTTGGCCAACTCCATACCCTTGTATGTGACAAACTCCTGGCTATCAGCACAGCTGTGATGCTCATCACTTCTGCAGAATGGATGATCCTCTGCCAGAGCTGGCCTGTTCAGGGTGATCCTGCTTTTGGGAGGACCCCCAGCCACTAGGCAAGGATTTCACACATTTTCCAGTCACTGCATCTCACAGACTGGGGTACAGATCTAAACTGCCATGGGTTTCACTCCATAGGGATTGATAAGGCTGTGGATGGAGCAGCAACAGAACAAGTGAGCAGCACATCCTTGTGCCCAGGTGGCCATCACTGAGGAGAAAGGAGCTGAGGAGAACAGCCAGGTGCTATTGCCTTGCAAATACCCAACACAGATCACCCAGGGGTGTGAACCACAGGCTTTACACACACCTTTACACACCAGGAGCCTCACACCCTGCAGGGCCCTGAGCAGAGCAGAACCTTACCAACCTCCTCCCAACCCTACCAACCTCATGGTACTGCTGTTTGGTAAATCCTCAGCTGCCATCAGCAGGAATAGCTGAAGCTGGATGTTGAGTGAGAGTGTAAATGGTGAATGATGCTTTGTGGAACCCTCCCATTACTTGTCCCAGTTACACTGGCCCACGAGGGCCAGCTCTCACTTTGCTCCCCTCCATTTCTCAGATGGTGAGGCTGCAGCACAAGTGTCCCCTGTGCCAGGGCTGCAGTGCTGAGGAAGTTGACTCACTGGGAAAAAAAATAAGAGCACTATTGCTAAGTCACTCTCAGAAACACATACTGCAAACCTCAACTGCCCGTTGCAAAACTGCCTCAGAATCTGAAAACCTTCCTCCATCAAAGTCGGAAAAATAAAATAATAGCAGACTTATTTAATCTAATAGTTATGTGAATTAGTGTTGCACTGAATTCAGCCTTGAATGGCTTCAGAGGGAAGGATGAACCCAAGAAAACCCTTGTAATTTGCACAGAGGGAAATCTGAAGCAACGTCACCACAATCAGTGGCATCGCTTTTCATTTCCATCAATGTAAAGGAGAAAAAGAATCTGGTTTCTGGAGTTCATATCAGGACACCAGATGAGCAAGCCTGGGCTTAGAAGTCCTACAGAACTGAAATGCCACAGACAAAGGCATTAAGAAACACTTATTGTGATGTTCTTCTTTCTGTTTACAAGTCCCCTTGTGGTCTTCTGAAATGGCCAGGGAACATTTTTAGCCATCCCCTCCAGGCTCCAGATTATGCCTTGGTTAGCAGATCATCTGGGCAGCTCTCTCTGTCTGTAACTCTATATGAATGACTTCAGTGACAAACAATACAACCATTCACTTTTTGTAAAAAAACAACCACTGCCACCAAATGTTTCTAATTTAAATATTTCTGGTTCTCTAGCTACTGGTTCCAATTTGGTATCAGCTACTGTCAGCCATAAATCCCAATGAATTTGGAAGTCACGATCCTGAATTGAGCTCTGCAAAAGCAGAATTAGGAAGGAGAAATTAATATCTCCAAGAAGGAAGTTTAGACAAAGAACCCATCACATCCATTTGTGGATTACAGAAGCTCTTGCATGGGCACTGTCATTTAGCAGTGGTCAATCATCACATGTTCCAGAAAATGTGCATTCCTCAGGAAAGAAACAATATAAGAGCATCTGAGAATGAAATAACTTCGGCTTTAACTCATGTTGACTCCTAGCACAGGACAGTTTATCCTGTTTTCTTGCAGTCAAAATTGTGTGACTTCATCAAAACTGCCTATTTCAAACCATCCCTGGTCTATCCCAGCTCCCAAAAATCCTTACCAAGGTACGAAGTAGTCTGGAGCAAAGCTGCACAAAGGACCCAAGGACCACTGTAATGATTTGCTTGAACAAGTGTCAGTGCCTGGGACATTCCCTGACAAGGGTTTATTTTACTAGATCCACCTCAGGATTCACTTGTTCCTCTTCTTGCCCAGGCAGTGTAAATTTCCTAAAACATCTTCACACCGAGGTGAGTGCAAGGAGCAGTGCATTTCTTGCACACATTCCACTGCATGTTCAAAACAGATCAAGGCAGACTGTTCCAATGATGTAAAAAGCCCTGGACCGAGTTAGCTTCACATGTAGGCTGAAGTTCTGAGCCAGTTCTTGCTTTATTCAAATCCATTCTGCCCATCCCAAATCCAAATGAGCTCAGTCATTAGGCTCTAAATCTGTAATTCTCTGTGCCAATATTGGCCCCAGTTCAGCAAGGCACTTAAATATGTGCTTAACTTCAAAAGCACAGTTAAGTCCCACTGATAGATTTGACTACAGGGGGATGTAAGCAAATAGCTCAGGGCTTTGTTAAATTGGGGCCCTGGTGACACAATCCTAGAAACATTTGTATTTTAACATGTTTATAGAAAATTATAACAATTAAGTAGAGCTCTTCCTTCCTCACATAAAAACAATCCAGGACTTCCTCTTTCAAAAAGCTTACAGCAGCCAAACTTTCTTTTCCTAACCCCAAGGTCAAGCGCTTTTCCAAGAACCTATCTTAACATGGTGCCTTAATTATTTGTTTCCTTTGTGATGGTTCTGACATATATCTAAGCTCAGGTGAGCCTAAAAGCTCATGGTGGGCACTTTTTAGGAGAAGGGCCACAAAATTATCTCTCAGACACAGCAAAAATCTCCCTTTTCCACAGTCTGGGCCAGCTTGGGCTGCAGATCTGGTTTTGTCCTATGCCACCATCCACACAAGTCACACACCTTGAGCCTTCTGAGGGTTTTTCTAACATATTTATCCTTGCAATGGGTTTGTGTTCTCCTCTCTAGAGGTTACTCTAAAGGCAAGAGCAGGTTCTCTCTCTCTCTCTCATCCAAACGTATATGCAGAGGTTGCTAGCCATATTTCTTTTTGTAGAAATTAAAAAAAAAATTAAAAAAAAACCTTTAAAATATGGCAATGAGTTTTCCTCTAGCTCCAGTCTTCAGCTAAAGCACACTGCCTCCTTGTATTAACACAAAATCTTGATTATCTACCCAAATCCTTGGGGCTGGATGGGCACTGGTGAACCTGTGCTGACTGGGAGGATCAAGTCCTTTCTTAATAAGGTGTTTGCCTTCAAATCTGATCCATAGGAGTGACAACACGAGTGGCATCCCTTCAGCAGTGTCACCTCAGTACTGCTGGGTTTGACAGCAAACCCCTGTTCCAAACTGAAAAGGTCAAAATGAAGCTAAATCCAGAGATTTACAGAAAACCCTTGCTCCAACCCAAGGTAAGCCCCAGGGAAAGGAGAGGCAGGAGCCAGTGCATCCCCCTCACTGTCCCCATCACTGCCAGGGTAAATTCTCCTTGGGGACAGGCTCTGTGCCCCGTGGTGTGAGCTGTTCCTGCCAGGGGGGTCCATATTGAACTGATAAACTCTCAAAGCCTCGTCACCTTGCCAGCTTGGAATTGGGACCGTGTCCCTGGGCGTCAGCCGCCCCACAGGTCTCCCTGCCAGAGTCTGTCCAGGCAAACAAAGAAAATGCATTGCCTTCCACTTTAATAAAAGCCAAATGATGCTGTTTGCCAATTACCAAAACGGGGCGAAGGTTAAAAACCCATTGAATTATAACACATGTCACGGACCAAAGCTTCTATGATTAACAGTTCTGTGAGAAATTCATTAATTTCACCCGAAGCAGGCTGACAGAGATTGTGCTTAATGACAGAATGCAGGGCAGGGGAAAGGCAGCCGAACTGGGAAAGAGAAAGCTGCATTAATTCACAACAAAAAGAGACGAGGAAACCCTTTTTTCCCCCCTTATGAAAAGGGAAAAAAAAAAAAATAATAACCAGAGTTGTAAAGAGCGGTTGCATTTGTTCTGCTGCTGAAGATTTATCTTCATCATTTCTTGTTGGGGAAGCTGACAGCAGGCGAGAGCAAGACAAAGAGAAGAGCTGGAGTGGGCTATGAATCCCTGGAGCTTGTTTGTGGCAGCAAAGGGTGCAGCTGAAAGGGAACCTCTCCACAGAGGCTAGAGCAGGTGATGGTGTGGTGGCCAGGGGTGGGTCTCGGTCTACAGTGTCAAACACCCAGATATGCACACTTACAGAGGGAGGAAAACCCAAAATCTCCCCTGCAGAAGCAATTTTGAAGCCGTAGCAGTGAGGCTGTGCCAAGGTTTAACCAAAGAAAGCAATGGAAAATCTTTTTGCTACTGTCACTAGAAAGCACGAGGTGGTGACAGTGTGAGGCAAGAAGACTGGAGAGCTGTGGGCAGCCGGGGGGACTTGTCTACAAACACAGAGTTAATGGTGGATTAGAAAGATGGAAACTCCTGAAATTCACAGTTCTGACGGCTGAATTGGGTGAATTGGGCTTTCCTGCCTGCCGTTTGCAGGAGAGGAACAGTGGCACCAGGAGGGTGGTGACAACAGGTCTGGTGACCATGGCAGGGGAGTGTCACCAAGGAAAAGCAGCACAAACTGCTGTGCCAGGATGGGTGACCCACAGCTGATGTTTCCTACCCAGTGAGAAAGACAAAAACCTGATTTTTGAGGAGCTACCATCAAAGGCAGCCACAGCACACCAGGCCTTCTTGCTGCTCGAGTGACTGCGGGGTGGGAAATTACACCTCTGCTTCTGCACACCCAATTTCACCGTCCACTGCATGAGGCTACACTGGAAATAGTAAAAGTATAATAATTCAAGCTATAAAGCACAAGAGAAGAACTAACCAGGCCATTGCGTCTGGTCTAAGGATGCAATGTGAAAATAAAGAGTGTCATTTTTACAGCACATCTCCAACAGTGAGGTAAACTTCTGCTGAAAACAAAAAAAAAGAGCTTGTAGTCACTGTCAGCAGAAAAAAAAAAAACAACTGTAAGAATAAAACTGGAAAGGAGAGGGTAGGAATTTTCAAACTGTAAATGTCTTCAGGAGGATGAAATGGATTTTTCAAAACAACTAATGATGACTGAGGACAACTACCTATAAAGTTCAATTTGACTTTTAGATTAAGTCCCATTTTTCTCTATAATATTAACTATAATACATATTTTAAGAAGAGTAAGTGCATGCTTTATTTTCAGTTATTAAGTTGTCACTAACCCATGGGAGGGATCCATTCACCCTCAAAATAAAAACCGTGTTAACTTTTAAGGGACAATATATTTCTTTTCCTTCACAATTTTAAAATCTGCACCCTTGCCTAGAAATATCTGTATCTGGTTATAAATCCTCTCCAAGCAAAATAATTCTCCTTGAACGAGAGAAACAATACCTCTTGTAGAGAGAAGCCAAAAAGCAGGCAAAAATATCCATGTTGACCTAAGGAACATGAAAGTGATAAAATTGATGATCACACATAGGAAGGCAAGTTCCTTTAAAAATTCAATAAATAGTTTAAAAATCGTATTAGGCAAATGCAACCAGTGGGGAAAGAGGAGAAGGGAAAGTATGGAACAGGCACCCCAAGGGAATCTGATGGGCAGACTGTGAGCAGGAGAGGCAGAAAACCCACGTCCAGCCTCTGAGCTGGTTAAGAAGTAATTTTTAAAATCTATCTTTCTCTGTTCTTCCTGGATTGGATAAAATAACTAAGGAAAAAGACAACAGGTGACAGCAAAGGTGTCACCTCTTTCCTGTCTGCACAGCTTAATGCACAGCTTTCTCTACATCTCAGGTACCTGAACTGCTTTGAGTCTTTTGTGCAGAAGAAAACAGATCTGGTCTCCCCAAATGATCCCACCAACAAGGCAGACTGGGGATGATTCCACTGATTCAAATTTCTTTACTTTTAGCCTTTACTTCTGAGTTTCTAGTTCCCTGACACATGTGGGAAACTTTACAATCAGTCCAGTGCTGGAACCTGCAAGACCTAAAACGTTGTTTTGAATGAGTGAGGCTCAGATGGGAGTTTGTGAGAGCAGGGGCTGAGAGGGTTCAGTGAATCCTGAAAACAAAACGATGCCAAAAAATCAAGAAGAAAAGTAAGAGGCAAAAGGTGGGTGATTCCTCCTCGAGGGATTCCTGAAGGTTGGGTTGCTGGGCTGCAGATGCTCACCCAAGCTTTGTCTAAGGGGGATGCATTTTTTTTATTACGGAAATAACTTTCTAAACACAGAGCACTTCTAGTTCCATAAGTGAATAAATGATTCAGTTCCTACTGAAAACTTGAGAGGGCAGTGGAATGTGGCCCTGTGTCTCAGTCCTCCTGAGCTCCCTGTTGCTTCTCACCATCTCCTTCCAGTGGGGCTTTCTTGCCTTTTTTCTGTCCTGCTTCGGGGCTGGGATTTGGCCACACTTCCACCACCAGACTTCTCATCTGAAACTTGATCCTGCTGTCTTTGGGCCTCTGAATTTATACAACCTATTGCACAGAATGATCAGACGCTTTGAATCTAGGTCAGAACACACTGACTGGATTGATTTAGCTATAGATATACTCCTTTTTTTTTATTTTATTTTCCCTTCCCTCTCCCCCTTCTCACCCTCCTGCCTTTCCTGGAATAAAAGCAGGTCCTAAGAACAAGCCAGAACATTATCAAAAAACCTGACAGCTTGCTTAGGAGGCTGAGCAGAGGTTTGCTGGGATATGCAACTTGTTTTACTATTGCTGCTGCTATGGTATGACAACTGCTCACAACTTTGAATTCACAAAGGAAGGAAAAAAAATATTCTTTCAGGGGTTTTGCTAAATTCTCTCCTCTTCTTTTCACTGCCTCGCTGAAAGGATCCATGAAGCTGCTGCACCAGAGGCCACAAAAGGTCACAATCTCTGTGGGATGCTGTAAAGCAGAGACTGAGAGGGGTTGGTGGTGATCTATTGATGTGTCTGTAATAACAACAAGAATAAAACGGTAGCCATAAACCTTTCATCCTGGGGGGTCCCACAGAGCTTTTCAGAATGGGGGCCAGATCCAGAGAGGTGCTGAGGGCCTGACCCAGCAGTAAAAGCACGGCAGATGCTGCTGGCCATGGCCCTGCAGCCCAGGGCTGAGCGTCTGGCAGGATCCGGCCACTCCGGGGCACAGGCATCACTCTGTGTCCACACTGTCCCTCCCGTGGGAGCTCCCCGTGGCACTCTGGCAGCACAAAACACTTCAGACTGAGCTGCTGTGAGAGTGTCCAGCACCACGCCGGGCTGGGGAATGTGTGAGGAGAGAACTGGCCCCAATTCCAGGCTTGGCATAAAGGAGGGAGGAGAAAGGAAGAGGAAATAATTCACTAACAGCATCCCATGCGGGTTAAATGTCCCATCCATCCTGATCAATGAGAACACTGCTGGTTTTTTACCCGTGACACAAAGGGGTCAGCAGGGTTCAGCTGCTGTGGCCCTCCTGCCTCCTCCCCAGCCCTGGCTGGCGCTGGGGGTGGTGGGTGTGAGGCAGAGGGAAGCGGGGCTGACACGCTCACCTCTGCTCCGCAGGGCTGTAGGTCTGTCCTTGCTGGCAGCTGCTGATGGTGATGGGGTCGAAGTTGTGGAAGGAACGCAGGGCCACCCCGGAGATGGCCACAAACTGGGAGCTGAAGCTAATGAGGACAGCCTGGGTGTGATAAAAAGGGTGACTGAGGTCATGGATGACGGGGATAATCAGGGGATTGTTCCTGCAGCTCAGGACGTGGACACCTGCCAGAGGAGAGACAAGATCAGAGGAAGGGTCAGGCTTAACACAATTGCTTCCCGAAGCCGTGGGCACTTCAGAGACATTTCACCCAGAGGAATGGCCCTATAGAGCTGAAAAGTTATGGTAAGCTGCCTGGAGGGGCTTCCCAAATCGCTGCAGAGAGCTTAGCAGAGAAGCAGATCCCTCCAGACAGCTGAAGAAAGGCTGCCATTCTCCCCGCGAGCGCGGCAGGCCCTCGGAGCCGCTCCTTTAGACCACAGCTACGTTTCTATTGTGCTCTGGTAAATCAGGAGCAACCAGCACGGGGGAAGCAGAGTCACACTATTGTAAAACAGGTCCTGGAGGACACTTGGAGCCTTTATATGTGGGATCAAACAGTGCCGGCAGGCTGGGGGGCTTTGTGCACCAGGGCTGGGGCTGTGCATGTCATTAGCTCTCAGTGTAAAACTTCTTTTGCATGAGTTTTCCACTAAATTTTCCCAGATTTGATTTTTTTTCTTTAATGGTTTTGTGCCTTAGGGTATCTTGCTCTTTGCAAGAAAAGGCAGATTTGGTCCTGGAGATAGAAATGAGGGTGATGGAGACACTGAGGATTTTACAGGTGATCTCAATCGAGAGGAAATGATTTGTGTCTTGGGGAAATAAAAGCATCTCAAGATTGCGGTGCACAGAAACACCAGAGAGGTGGCAAGGAGACTTCCGAATCCCTTTTCTCCAGTGGAGAAGGCATTCAGTGACAGCTGGGAAGAAATTCCCACCTTCAGGTAGAAGCAACCTGAATTCAAATGGGCCAAACCCATCTCAGGGGAAGGCAGAGGACAGACAGCTGTCGGCTGCCCTCAAAATTCATTAATTGAGATTCATGGCCTGCTGGCTGCCTGCAAGGCTGTGCCTCCACAGCTCCATGGCATCACTCCGAGGATCAGCTTGGCTCCAGATCCATTTGCTTCACTGGAGCTCCCCCAGCAATGGCTTTGGCCCAGGCCCCTTGGCTACCCTGATACACTTACAAATTTGAAAATAAAATAAATTCTATTTGCATGTTTAACTGGCTCGGGGATTTCTGTTATTATTTTTTTTCCCTCCAGTTCAGATTTTTTGACTCAAAAGGGAAGGAATAAAAAGGCTTTCATTTTTCTCCTTAGAAAGTGATTTCCTGTGAATTAAGACATGCTCTTTAAACATCCATCTCCCACCCTCTACTTAAAAAAATCTTCCTGTAATAAAAAAAATAAAATAAAAAAGCAAGCCTCTTTTTGTTTTGGTCTTCACCTGACCCTGAAATAACCTCCCTGTCTACTTGCCTCCCACAGGTCTTTTGATATCAGCTCCTTGTGGAACAGTGCACGTTTCTCACTTACAAACAGGTGCAGTTAATACTCAAAATCCCGGGTTCCCAAATTCCTTGGAAGTTTCTGCCTTCTCTGATGGAAAGCCAAGAAAGACCTTATGGTATGAGGTTGTTTATTCACTTCTGTTTCATTCCTTGCACTCAGGTGGTGTCCAAACAGAACAGACCCTCAGAGCTGTGCTGCACTGCTGGTTATTTCTGACCCTGACCAGGAAAACGGTGGCTGGACCGGTCAGGGTTTTTTAATTCCCCTGCCATAACCCATGAGGATGGTGCAGGTGCCCATGGGGGCAGTCAGAGCTGTCTCAGGATCACCCCTGTTTCTGTGGCTCTGCACCCATCCATTCAGCTCAGCAGCTGAGCCCTGGTGTCTACAATGGCTCTGAACCAACGGCGCTGAGATGTTTGGCATCCCAACCTCTCCATCTCCTACCAGCACTTAGAAGCTTCACATTATTTTCTGGGAGTCCAGTTGCTCTGATCCACGCAGGAAGCTGCATGTCTGGATAGGCTGTGCTTTGCTCATGGCAGTGTCTTTAGCACACTGAGGACTGATCGAGATTTAAATTATTGTTACTTCCTTTTGGATGTACTTTTAGCTTGCCACGAACTTCTGCTTAAGGCTCCTTGAGTGTCTCCGTCAGTCCTGCCCCCAGTGCATTGCCAGCATTTGCAGCCCAGCTGCAGTTTCCAGCTTGCCATGGTGATAATTCAAACACATGAAATACAATATCCAGGAAAAGGACTTCATGTCACTGTCAGAACACAGAACAGCTCTGAGTGACAACTGCTGGGTAGCCCACCTACACCTCTCCTCTGCTACAGGCAGCCTCTTCTGAAAGGTCAAAGGGGCTTCTCCATGATGAAAGCAGCATTTCAGCTGGGAGGACATCCAGACATCAGGCTGAGCCATGCCAAACTCATGTTGCAACTTCATTGAAGATTTCAAAACCTAACCCTCAGTTTCCTCTTTGCTCCTCTTTCTCTCCCTCTCCCAGTCTGCCTGTCTGTCCCTATAAAATGTCACATTAAGTACTGCTGGCATGCTCTTGTCTCCATCATTTATTTCTCAGAGGGACAGAGCTATGTGCCACTGTTTTGCAAAAGGAGGGTAAGATTAATCCAAGGGCTTTGGCAAACTGGGAGCCACCCTGACTCAACCTGCACAACTTGCTACAAATTTCAGTTTGTTCTTGGACAACAGACACCACACATATTACCTTTGTTTTCCTCCACACCCCACCAAATTTTGCATTATCCTGGATGCTCATCCAACACCTGTCACCCTGTGTCCCTTCTCATCACTAGTGGGACTCTCATTTGAGTTTCAGCATGTTAAAATCAAAATGCTGTGGTAAAACAGAAAGCTGGGAGGATGGGAGTTATGTTTCCTTAAAAACTGCTCTCAAGGTGACCTGGCCAGCTTTCTCCTCAGTGGAAAAAGGCAGAGAACATCTGGAAAGGGATTATGCAAGTCCTACCCTGACACATAGTTGGGAGCTAGGGAGAGCTCCTGGGTTCTTGAGCTTAAATGCAGCCTGGGTCAATTCACCAGACAAAACTTCCCCAGTTTAGGGCCCTGTGCCAAGGGTAGAGACAAAACCTGTCTATCCTGCCACTTCAGCCTGGCAGGGCCCTGGGGCTGGGCCTTCACCACCTGAAATACTTCACCTGGGGAATGTTGGCCAATAAATGTCTCTGGAGACCTCCCTGCAAGCAGGACTGGAGATCACCCAGCACTCCCTGTGAAACAGAAGCCTTTGCTGCAGCAGCTGGTGCAGGTCCCTCGCTCCCTGCTCCGAGGAGTTCATCTGTAGCACCACCAGTGTCTCTCCAGGGCAGTGCTGGGTGTGAAGCACTGAGATAGTGCTGATTTTAGTGACTGGAGAGGAGCTAATCACCTCTGAACTGATAGTGAACAGCTATGGAGAAATGTCTGTATAAAATAACACATCACTTTCAACAAACGCTAGTGAGACTCAAGGCTTGGAGCATTGAGCAAGCACCTTTTTTGTCTAATTCTGAAAAAACTGAGCAGGAGTACTGGTGAATGGGAGCAACACCAGATTAAGCAAGCAGTAAAGATGGAGTTTAACACAACACAGTCTTACCAAGATCATGGCTTTGCTCTTTGGTGTCAAACAGCTGCACACCGATGGTCTCCTGCTTCTGGTCCAGGTAGTAGGTCCCATCAGTGACCAAGTGAACAAGGACTGCTGCTGCCACCATAGGCTGGGAAAAATAAGCCTGGGAAAACACAAACCACACAAAGCCTGAGGTGGAGAGCTGTGGTGGGCTTCAAAAAATCCCCAGGATTCAGTCCAGAACTTTTCAAAGAAGAATTCCCATGGCAGGTCACACAGAAATCTTCTCTTCCAATCTCTCTTACACAAACCAGATAAACTCAAGTCAAACAGTCCTGAAGCTGAACCCTCTCAGAAATTCAATAGCCTTATCACACAGGAGGGGACTTTACTACTGACTCTAGACAGTTTTTAAAGACATTGTTTTGCTCTTTTGCTCTAAACATACTTCAGAAAGGAGCAGCTTGGCCCTGGGAAGGCTGGCCCACAATATTTTGACTGCTGGAGAATCTCTGCAGAGGCAGGCAAAGAGGAAACTTCTGAATGATGTGTGCACTTCCTACCTTCAGCCAGAAAGTGGTCTGTGTCATGTGGGAGTACTGGAAGTTGGCTGTGCAGGGATACCAGGCGTACTGGGAGACACCATCATTCAAGTCGATCACCTTGGTTCGACACATCTGCAGCAGGAAAAAAAAGAAACACCAAAACTGATGTAGAGGACAGCGAGGAAGGATCCTGACTGCTCAAAGTGGGGAAACAAAGCCTGGGTGCGATCCTAGGATGAAGTAATGCACCATAACTGTGCTTCTCAATACCATGAGAGTATTCAAAATTAAATTTCCAGGTCTTCCACCCCAGAAAGAAAAACTGAAACATTAAAGGAGCTAAAGACTCACAGAAGCTGGATGGCAGCCAGCAATCTCCTCTGAATTTGGTACCAGGTTTGGTACCCAAATGGACAATGACTCTTCCCACTGGAGTCCAAGTGAGGATCATTTCTGAACACCGTGGCTCCCAGCACAGACAGTGCTCCACAGTGCTCCAGCACTGTCCTATTTAAACCTGATATTACTGTAATCCCAGAGGAGCCACACATGGCCCTGTAAACTTGGAACCAGGAAAGTCCTGCCTCTAGAACACAGTTTAAGCAAGCTGGTTCCTTCCTTCACCCACCAGTTCTGCAAGTGGAATCACCCTCTCCCTACACCTGCAGCCTTTCCATGGCAGGCAGCAGTGAGACTGGTGGCAAACTTCTCTTTTCAGTAAAGTACTCGATTCCCAGGTCCTGTTAGGGATGAAAAGCTAAAAAAAAATTTCCAGAATCGAAGTACCAGAGAGCCTTGCAGTGCCATCAGTATGTCAGTTGTGAAAATGAAGCTGCAAGAAATGATCAGATTCACCATGAAAATGCACTGCTCAGTGAAGCTGTTTCAAAAAGGAATCATGAATGACTACAGCCTTCACCTCCACAGCAAACAGAAAGAAGGGAATGTCTACCATGGAAAAAATTACTACTGTATTAGAGGGATACTTATAGCTGAGGCTCCTGGAGCATCTGAAAGATACCTGTTGGAATCACAACCCTTTGGTGAACTCACTGATTGTCATTAGCATAAGAATGGATGGAATTCCTTCCTCTGATGTGCTGTCAGTAAAGCTGTTCCCATCAGCAATTCATTTTTTAAAGCAAAAAGAGAACCCTGAAGCCAAACAAGAGAATTAACAGCCATCCAAAATCCTATGCTCACTTGACAATTCTGCATGTAAATTCCCTCTTGGTCTCGACAGGCCAAGTCTGGGCACTGCAAAGAGAGCCTGGGATGCCTGGGAATGAGAAACCAGATTGGCTAAAAGTGAGGTAATCCCCTTTAAAACCTGAGTCCCTCAAGATCCAGCACAGAGAAATCTTACGGGCAAAACATAAATCAGCTTTAATGGGCTGGAAGAAGATTTTTAGTTTATTTATTTTTTGAAACAACTGGGACCGAGCTTCATTGAGGCTAGCTAGTGGATAGTGTTACATTTTACAGCAGAGCAAGGCTTTACACAAACTATCTTTGGCATTTGAAATCAAGGCCAGCAATTCGACATGTACCATTTCGCAACTCTCCCTTCTGCCTTTTCGGCAGCCTGGCTCTTGTTGGGACCATGGTTTTTATTTTAATACCTCTCCAGCTAGGGAATTTATCTTACCCACATCTGCAATGTATATGGTCAGAGAGCTCTCCGACATGAACAAAAGTCTCATTACTTTTCTATTATTTTGTTCTTATTCTTACTTTTCCTCCTGCTCTCTTGGTCCAAAAAGGTGGCTGAAGGAAACGCAAGCACTGACTTTTGGTGCTTTTGAAGTGCCACTTAGTGCATGAGTGAAAACTTGTATTAAGAAATCACCCAGACCTTCAGCAAAAGTTTGATTCTAACCCAAAATAAACCCCTGCTGAGGTGGGCTGGAAATCTCTGATAACTTTTAAATGCCTTGTTTGATTTGTGTGCGTGTGTGAACCCTTAGCACTTTCTGCTTCTGCTGGAGAATATTAGCAAAAACCTGAGCATTGCATAAAGAGCTTGTGTTCAGGCCACGTGGGCTGTCAGAGCAGGTTTGAGCAGGTTAGATAAGCTTCCCCCTGCTGAGACTGATCCATCGCTACCCAGACTAGTGTTTCAAAGTGGTCCTGGGGTAAAAAGTTCTTTTAGAACAGTCTAATTGAGAAGTGTGGGAAAAGTCTAACAGAGATGAATGGCTACAAGAACCTCTTCTCTACTCGCTGCTGGCCAGGAAACTTAGCTAATGTAAAAAAAAAAAAGTTCTTTAAGTTTCTCTGAAAACAATTGTATGGGATAAACAGCTCCTGACACCTACAGACTGCACCATCTCACCGGGCTCCAACACACGTGGTAAATCCATCCCTGTTTCAATTCTGCCCAGGCACTGAATGTCACATCACACCTGCCAAGCCTGAGAATCATCTGCTGGAAGAGTCCTTCACCCTTCTGCTTTTAAGGCATCCCTAGAATGTAGCAGCAGCCCGAAGGCCCCAGTTAATTAGGTTAATGGTTGGTCCCAATTATCTTAGAGATCTTTTCTAGGCTAAATGATTCTGTGATCACTGCAGTACCAACACTTTTAGAACTACAAGTTCCAACTGGTGGAAGATAGAATATCATCTCTCCTCATTTCTATTCACAGGAATTCACAGGTATGAGAAACAGATTATACCCTAGCATCCTCCCTTTGCTACAGTGATGCAAACCAGCAGCTAAAGCACCTGACAGCTGTGGAGGGAAGAGCAGAGATAGACTTCTCATTTCAGGGTGTTACCAAACACTGGAGTATTTGCTTTGAAGAATGACACATCACACATCACACAGTGCTCCAAACTTCACTAACTGGGGCTTATCCAGATTCTCAGACCCACACAGCAAATGGGATATCCACAGGAGCTTAGCATGTGCTCCAAAGTATGTGGCAGCTATTTGTGTCTAGTTACTGGAAGCCCATGTCATCCCCCTCCCGAGGAAGCTGCTTTCAATTAGAAGAGCTGATGTCTGTTCCTCTCAGAGGTTCAAATCCAGCTCGTCTCCCACCCACACATTTCGTACACAAACATCGGCAGACAGAACGATCAAGGCCAGGGAGCACTGTGGGATCTTCCCACAAGAGGGAATGCCTGGAGGATTCCCTTTGACTGATTTATACAACCTCTTGTCAATCAAAGGCACAACATGTTCTTCAAACCGCCTCTCCTGTTTTCCTTCTCTTACTCTGGGGGACCGAGGAATGTGTCAGCAGAAAGGGAAAAGTGATATATTGGGAGCACTTAGCTTTTTGCCACATCAAAAACACATTTACTATTGCAATCAACTCCATTTCCTTCAAAGTAATATGGGAAAATTTGCTGAAGAGCAGATTTTGGAAGGCGCCCTTGTGAATGATTCCCAGCCATCCCGTGACTGCAGGCAATGTGAATCTGTGTTGATGGGTTCCTGTTGCAGCAGAATTACAGGTTAAGGATCACAAATCCCCTGGACTGGGTGCTGGGCTAGATCCCAGCCCAACTGTGGCAGTGCACGGCCCCAGTACAACCTTCTGGACAGCACTTGGCTTCTCCAGGCCTGAGCTCCCTGTCTGGAGGATGAAGATGATGTTCCCCCACACCTCATAGGTGTGCTGAGGATAAAAGCTAGGAGCCACAAAAAGATGCTCAGGTGTCACTGAGAGCACACACGCGTGTGAGGACACAGCTCCCCACAGGAGTGGGATAAACACGGACCCCATTCCACTCTGACCTTCCCACCAAGCAAGCACAGTCAGACACCACAGGTTTTGCACACACTGGTGGTTCTCAGCATTGTAACATCAAAATAATTCTAAATGCAGACAGAAAAGCTGCTACTTAAGCTCGGATGCTGCCCTTCTCAGCTCTGGCACCGTGGTTGGAGCAGACGTGCCTGTCTGCATGCCCAGGGGCGGCTGGAAACAGAGCAAACCTCCAGTGCACAGATCTGTCTGCTCCCAAAACCCCATCTGCTGAACCATGGCAGGGCTTCCTCCAGACCATGTCCTCGAGCTCTGTCTGGCTGCGAGGGGCATCGTGGGCACTTGGTCAGGCAGTGGAAAGCATCCTCCTTGAGGAGAGGAGGGTGGAAGTGGAAATTGTGCTCCAAAAGCTTCCTCTCCCCACTCCTTTCTACAGGGAACTGTGCTGCTGACACTTCTGCAGACAGACAGACAATGCAGAGTGCTTCTGGGCTGGAATGGGCTGTACCCTGTCCTGTTGGAAAAACTGCAACCATGAAGCAGGCAGGAGCAATATTTCCTGATAATACCCACAGTACCAGCTATTTATTGAGCACAAAACATCCTCAGTTGAGGTTGCAGAAGTGCACAGAAAATCCCACAAACTGATACAAAACCCATGGAGGCACAAACAGAGCATCTTCTCTTGTTTGAAGGTCCAGCTAAAGAACAGATTTAATCCATAATACTGAAACTTAATTATTCTACAATATTTATCTCTTTGCTCTACAGAATGTTATTTGTATTTAACTCAACACATGCCAGAGGATCCCAACCATGACAAAAGCAGCATTTTAACACATCCCTTACAGTTGAAAACTTTCTCTCTCCCCTGCCAGATCAGGGTGCTGGCAGTCACCCAACCCTTTTATTCTTAAATATGTTATTGTTCTTGCTGACCTAAGGTTAATCTCACCCAAGGATGAGAAACTATGGTGCAGTTGCTAAATATCAGAAAGGTTCCTGCTTGTTTATTGCCCAATATTGTAGGGCAGCTTGACTGCCACATGGACACCACCCAGTTTGTTGACTGCAGCACAGACCTCCAATCTGTTCTCAAAGCTGTTGCGCTGCTTTTCTCATTTAGGCTGGGAATTGGGTTGGAGTTAGGGAAAAATGAAGTTGCCCACATGAGTGAGCACTGAACCATTAAAAAGGCCACCATGTGGGCTCCAACAAACACCTCAAACCCCAGCCAATTTCTCTGACCATTACAAACCTCAGGAGCCCACAGAGCTCAAATGGAAATTGTACACACAGCAGCACAAGGAATTTTGCTCTGGGTTTCCTTCTAGATTCTGGTAAGAAGTGCTTTTGGACAAGTGACTTGATCAGATGTCTTTGTCAGTGGAATTAATCCCATCAGAAATCTGAGTC